CAATGTTTGCATACATATCAGATCGCAAATAAAACAAGATGGCTTCGTGGGAGGAGAGCTTAGGGGAAATGAGACCTGAAAAACTGAAAAAACTTGGCAGAAACGGGTGTAGCTCTTTGAATATATTATTTCACATTTTAAAACATGAAATTAAAAAGTAAATAGTCTCATTATCATTTTAATAGCAAAATGCATATTATGTCTTCTTAAAAAGAGAATGGAAGATCCTAGTCATTAAAGATGAAGGTTCTTCCAGGACTGTTACGGTCGCCAGCAGATGCTTCCTCTGTTCACTGCTGACCCCCGGCCTTCAGTGCACATCCACAACATGGCAACTCTTCCAAACTGAGACTGAATAATTTAACATGAGCTTATTGTTGTGGAGAAATGTTATGCGTATCAATGTATAATATAACCTAGCAACAAAATAAACGTTCTCTCTTGGAAAGTTTTTTGTTTGATCTCTCAGAAAGGCCTACAGTCAGATCATCTCTGTCAAGTCTACCCCAGTGTGAATAAACATAAAATCGTGGAGAGTTCCTCTGTCTAAACACGAGTCGCCTAAAATGGCCCTTGTTTGGGCTGACTCCAGGGACAGTCCAGTCTACTCAGTGCTCTCACACCTCCTGCTCTCTGTTACAGACGCACAGGGCAGATAAGTGCGCGACATGAGGCTCTGGGCTGATCAAAAGTCTGCTACGAGTGCGACAAAGAGCTCGGTGTGTCTGCTACCGCTGCATTATATGGGCTGCTCCATATCGTATCGCTCATGAGTCATTAGTGGTTTATGGCAGGGGTGTCCAAACCTTAAAGTGAGAGGGCAACTTTAGTGAACTGTACTTGTGCAGTTGTCTACGACCCCTTTATTGCCCTGAGATTTAAAATTAGGTATGAAATATCCATGTGGATTCACACTTGACAGATAGTAAAATCACGTATAGATCTTTTATGACACTTGTCAATAAAACAGTCGGCAGAACTCAGTGATTTTTTGGTTGTCTGAGGGTCAAAGCTGATATCTATTGGTGCCTTCTGAGAGGAGCGTTCTTCTTCTGGTTTAAAATCACATGCACGCTGAAAACTTGTGTTTACATAATATATGCAGTATAGTATATGTATGATAGCAATTATTTTACTATGACAGTTACAAAGTTTGAATAATAAGGAAAAGATGCTGTTGAAAAGCGTTCTCAGGTCTGGAACACAATTCTTCATCAATTGAAAAAGGCTAAAACTAAAATTTAAATTTCAGATAAATATTTTAAACTTATTGTTTGAAAGGCTTTATGTTTTCAAAATGCCACGGTAGCCTCTAGGACCTTTATCTTTTATTTGAATAACCCTGCAGCTTTAAATGAAAAGAAAGGCATTTGTTAGAATTATTTTAGGGTTGGGCAAGAATATAAAATAGAAGATGCAATGCAGGATGCTTTCCATAACAGGATTTACGGCATGTTTAAAGCTTGAGCAAAGGCTAATGTTATGTTCCCTCCAGGAATTCTAAAGATTAACACACATAAACATCACTTTGCTGTTGGATATTGTACTGTGGGTGAAAGATCTGATTACATATTGTCACCCAGATCTCTTATTTCCCTGAAAGCACGGCACCAAACTGACATGAGGTCACTGACAAAATCTGGGCCAAGACCAGAGGATATGCACCGGGAAAGATAGAATTAGATTTAACAATGCACGCCTTGTTCAGCAGTCAGCAGGAAAAAAAAGGCGTTATTTGTTTGTGGCAAATCACATGTTAAGGTCTGACTTGACTTGAAATGTAAAATGCAAAATTTTCAGATGTCAAAAGTAAAACGAGAAATAAATTAACAATTATGTTTTTTGAACAATTACCTCCACAAAATGCACAAACACAGACATACTGTAAAGTGAAGTGACGGTCACGACGACTTCAATTTTGCCTCTTGTTGTGACGTTACTAACAACTTTCGATGTGACGTAAAATATATAATGCATATCCGGATTTCATTCTGTCTGAAAGGAACTCCATACAAACTGAACTGTTTGAACAAACCCTGGACAAACTCTTTAAGAACTGAAACTGGAATAAAAGGCCCCAGGGCCATGTGTGCATCTGAATCCCCCTTAAGTCTGTCATTCTTCGACATTATACAGTATGATGATATTTGTACTGGATTCTTGAAACTATGTTCTCATGTTAGCTTATTTTCACATATCTAGTATTTTCCAGTATTACATTTCAAACGTAATACAAATATATACTGTTGTGAAAAGAAGACAAGACAGTGTCGATTGCACCACCTGTAACCCGGTCTCTTCAGATCCAACAAGAGGAGACAAGGCTTTTTTTATGATTCTGTTAGTATTAGATAGCAATATGGCCTACGTGCAGGACTGTACAAGGACTCTGATTCTTTTGACTATGATGTGCACTGTCTCTGTGTGACACGTACGTCTTTCAATGTGTGACGTGACAATGACTATATAAACTGTGTACTGCCTTTATTCTGTCTGAGAGAAGGAAACAATGGAAACCAATGGAACTTGAGAGAAACTTAAATAAACTTCCAGAGTTTGGCGCACCACGATCCGTCTCTGTCTGGGTTATTCCTGACAGATTCATATCAATGTGCATAAGAACAGAAGATGTCATCACTTCAGATATTAATAACGCATGGTTAAGATATAGATACTTGTCACAATGTGGGTCAGAACAAACATGTTCAGTTCTTCAGATAAGAATGGGTCTTCTTCATCGTGTATCATTACGTATGTACAATAATAGAAGTGGCGGCAGTTATAGCAGTAATATTAGGAGTCGTAGTGACTGGTAGAAAAACATATCAGTCGAGGAATAGTCAGAGAATTAAAGTAGTAATAATGATACGTCCAACTGAAGGATTACTGTAGCAGCAGCAGGAGTAGTTGTCGTAGTAGCAATAGCATTTAACTTTTTTAGCACTTATAAATGGAGGCCCAATACACATTCCTGTCTGGTGGCCTGGTTCTTTCACACGGCTGCTCTATTGTCTTGTATGTATGATGAGCCTGAAGAAAGCAGCTTAGGGCTCTATTGTTTCCTGTAGCTTTGACATGCGTTACCTCCTCTTTCAAGGTTTTAACCCTGCTTATGCTTACTATTCCTGTTTGTCTTTTGGATTTTTAATGACTAATTCTGGTTTGGGTGTCCCTTAACAATGCTAATAGCTCTAATCCCATGGTCCACATTGGTCTTACATAACGCTGTATTTTTAGGTTGTGAGTGGAAGGCAGCAGGATGGCGCCTGATGTCAAGTCATATTCATAGTGAGTGACTCTTTGACTGTCCGCAGAGCCCCGGACAGTGGTGGGAAACTTTGAAGAGAGCTCTTAGTGGCGCCATAAGGATAAAAAAGACATGGTGTATCTTAAACTACAGGACTGATACGTGTTACAGTTGTCATAATGACAGACCCAGTTTTAAAAGTTTCAGTTTATAGACTGAAGATAATGCAAAAAGATGTCAGACGTTTCCACTTATTTTACAATCTGAAGGAGAAGGTCTTGGAACAGAATTTCAGCTGTGGTAAATTTGGATCTCCTATAACACTTTTGAAGCAATTGTCAAAAATCAAAGCTCTTTGCGCACCAGAGTAACCTAAACCTATGACCTGAACTTATGTCTGCGTTTGTCCACTGGGTAAAGGCTATACATTCTCTTGTTCATAAATTTTTGGTTGAACCTAAGCTTGTCATTCTAACAATGCACAAGACAGTGATTGTCCACTTGATGTTTCGGTTATCTGAAAGCCGAAGCGTCCGAAACGCTGTGGCAGGTTCTGATTGGACTGTCTATGATTCCTCCATTGCATAAAATCACATGCACACAGCAAATCTTTGGTTGTGTCTCATTGTAACATCAACAACTATCTTAGACCTTAGACCCTCGCATATTTTCTTCATAAGCTTCACGCACTCAAACAGCATCACGTAGAGGAGATGTGTAAAAAGATACATGACCTAAACGTTTATAAGGGACACAATCGAAATATGAACACCCTGAAAATCAATAGTCAGTCTTCTATGATTCTAACTTCACTTTCACTCTTCTTAGTAGAAGTAGCCAAAACTTGGAATCTCCACTCAATTGTGGCCGAGAATAACATTTCCCCTGGAGTCCATATGCATGTCTTATTGGGTGTAGTGGGTGCCAAAAGGACAACTAACAAATGTGTTTTGAAGAATACCACAGCCCACTGCACAGAAGTGTTGACTTCCATGGTGGCATCTGATTAGGACAGACAAGCTTCAATATTGGATCAACAGTTGCCACATTTGCCAAACCATGCATCCTCCACCAACTGAAGAAAATGACAAACCTCTGGGGTCGGACAGACAGAAGACATGTTTCATTATTGATGGTAGAGACAGAAACAAAGATGTTACAAAATGCAAGTGAAATTATAGGATAGACCGTCTAATCAGCATTTACCACCATGCCAGTGGCTTTGGCCTTGAGAAAAACAAAACATTTAGTGGAAAAGTATCAGCCTTGTGCATTGTTAGAATGACAAACTCAAGCTTTTACTTTTGTTATTATTTTATTTGTGTGTGATTGTACAAACAACCAGTTCCGAATCGGCGAGGACGCACAGACCAGACAAATGTAAAAGCCAATACAAACAGCGTGGACCTTCAGTGGCCCTGAGTGTGTACAGAGCAGTCTTCCTGACAATGTGAGACAAGCTTCTTCTCTGACAATGTTCAAATTCAGGTTAAAAACAGTATACAACTGAGAAATTTTATCTTCACTTCTTTTTTAATGTTCTGTGAATATTTATTATTCATTTATTTATTTTAATGTCTTGTGTGACTGTATTGTTCAGCACTTTTAGTTGCCTTGTGTATGAATTGTGCTATACAAATAAACTTGCCTTGTCTTGCCGGACAGTGTAAATGGAAAGGCAGACCTGGTTGAAACCCTAGAATATTTGTGAGTGTCAAAACCCCCGATGTAATACAGTATGTCATGTGAATACCTGTCAATAGCAGTGCTGGTGGGCATACTCCTGGCAAAGCCTCGGACACCCTGCTGCTTGAAGTACGGGATGGAGGACAGGTTAGCCGCCATGATGGCCAGAGAGTCTGAGGGGTGGACGAAGAAACCGTTCTCACCAAGGATCATGTAGCGGTCCTGGGCAGTGGAAAGGAAGAGAGGAACATTTATATTTTGGACAAACTTACCGATTCATTCTTTGTGCTTCGTATATTTATTACACATTACACAGATCTTTTATAACACTTTTGAAGCAACTGTGGTTAAAGTTGAACTCATCAGTACGCAGGACTCGGTGATTGTCCACTTGATGGTTGATCCGAACTGGCATAACACCGTCTCGAGGAGGAGGACCTCGATTCATCTCGTTTAAAATCACATGCATTTTCAAAACTCTGTGTCTTATTTGCCATCAACAATCAAACATGTCTTCTGTCTGTAATACACAATAATAAAGAAAGAAAAGAGTCTTAATAGCTATTCCGAAATTGCACACATTCTCCACCAACTGAAGAAAATGACTCAGGGGTCTGGGGTCGAGTCACAGACAGAAGACATTTATTGATGTTACAAAGAGACACGTCCAAAGATGTGCCATGGAGAAATAGACACTCTAATCAGCACCTGCCACGACAGCATTAGCTTTGGCCTTCAGATAGTGGAAAACCACCTGCTTCTGTATACTGAAAGAAATGATGCGGGGGTCTGGGGTTGTGTCACAGACAGAAGACGTTTTATTGATGTTAAAACAAAAAACCAGAATGCAAGTAAATTTTAAAGCATGGAGGAATGGAGACGCTCCAATAAGCAGCTGCCACTGTGCCAATGGCTTCGGCCTTCAGATAACCAAAATATTCAAGTGGAAAATCACCAGCTCCTCATAGTGTTATTAGACGAGCTTAGGTTTAACCAAAATTGCTTAAAAGTGTCATAAAATATTAATATCGTAGTATAATATAATGTTGAATGTTTTACCCCATCGGCATCAAAAGCTGCACCAAAGCCAAACTCCCCTCCCTTCATGGCCTCCACGAGAGCTGTGGCGTACGTCAGGTTGGGTTCTGGAGGCTGCCCACCGAAGTCCTCCAGGGGGACACAGTTCACAGCAGAGTTGGCCGGAGCCCCCAACTCATCACACAAAATTCTGCGTACGTAAGGCCCCATCACTGAAAGACGTGACATACCCATAATTACATGTTGATCATTTTAGATCCAACAGCACAGGTCACTATGATATCATAAATACATATTTTGTTGAAATACATGCTATATTCTATTACAAGATATAGTCCAGCTGGCTTAGTTTCCAGACTGTAGCGCCTACTAGATATACTGTAGAATGAAGAAGTTACCTGGTTGGTAGCAAACTGTCAGCTTCTAAATTAAGTTAATCCAGCTGTAACTAGTTTTAGCTTAAATAATAATATATGCCTGGATGTTTGTTTACTTATTTAGGGGACTGTGTGCTTTAATGATACCCTGGATTTAGCTCTTGGCCATAGTTTCCATCCACAGTCCCAAGAGATGAAAAGATACACACGCAATATCTTCATCGGCTAATTATATATATTGCAACAGCAGTAGTAAAACGTGTCTCTACTACAAGTATGTATTCCTCTCACCTCCATTCATGGCGTCTATGTGTAGCTTGAGCTGATCTGGTCCAGTGAGCAGACTTTTAATGGCTCCAAAGTCAAAAATGTTTCGTAGGAGTTGAAGGTAGACTTCTACAGAATCCACAATCTCAACTGGAGAAAGAAAAGGCAATTTATAATATTTTTTTATTTCGCATGCTTCCATCTAAACAATTTGTCTTCAGGACTGTTTTAAAAGTGATTTAACAGTGTAGACAATTTTGAGAAGTTCAAAATCAAATGCAATTTGTACTAAATAATATGGGTGGCACAGTGGTTAGCACTCGTGCAAAAAGGTCCTGGGCTCAGAATCAGAATGCCACGTGAGTAACAAGAAGTCACAGACTGGGAAATTGATTTGGCTCTTGGTTGAAACGCAGAGATTAGAAAGAGCATGCTTGAACTAAATATCTTCATTACTGCTATATATTGTACAAGTGCACTAGTGCACACAAAAGACCTACATACAGTGACAGTCATTAAGGGCAGGGGACAGAAGATATGAAGTGTTCATGAGTCCAACTACAGAGGGAAAGAAACTGTCCTTATGGCAGGATGTTCTGATCCGGATTTGATTCCACATCCAGACAGGGCCTTTCTGTGTGGGGTTTGCATGTTTTCCCCATGTCTGCATAGGTTTCCTCTGTGTACTCCGGTTTCCCCTTCCACTAGATCATCTACAATAGGTCTATGCCTCCTGTATGGCGACCTCGCTCCCATCACTGTGTGGAGTGAGAGGAAAAATGCCCGCTATTGTAAAGCTATTTGGGACGCTGTCTAAAGACACTAAAATATATATACGCCAAACAATCCATTATCTAAATTACAGTCCTGGAATTTTCATTTTGGCAGGTCTACTCATATGCACGGTGACTCTAGCATCACGTACCTCTAAATGGCTTGAACTTGTTTTCCAGGTCAAAGTCTTGGCGCCCCAGTCTGGACAGGTCGATGCGGAGGTCTGGGCAGATGGCAAACTCCTCCAGTGTACGACTGACCTGAGCGATCCTCTCCATCACGATGTCTGGAGAAGGACCTGAGCAGAACATTCAGATTCAGATTCATTTATTTGCCATTTGCAGTAAAACCACATTGGAAAAACTGTGCAAGACTACCCCGGTGTGCACCAACATGCATGATTTACCACAGCCGAGGCAAAAGATTAAAACACTCTAATATCTATCTTGTTTTTACTTTTATTCCTACTGTTCTGTATTACTGTTCTCCCACTGTGGGTAGAGTAAATGTTCTTTTCCCCTAGTGGGACAATAAAGACAACTTGAACTTGAACTTGAACTTGAACTTTATCGTAAAAAAAAAAGGTGGAGAATTTCTAATGAGAGATTGCATTAAAGAAAAATGTATCATTCATAGCTAACTTTATTTATTCTGTTGTTCCACATTAATCATTATTATATCAATAAAATGGATACAATTGATTGATACAAATGTTGTTCATCTAAAGCAAGGGTGTCCAGACTATTTTACTAAGCGCCACTTCAGCTCAGAAGACTTGTCCAGGGGTCGACAACCCGGACTTTAAAACCGTTTTGACTGGATTTGGGATATTCTGAGCTTTAGAATGAGGTCTGATTCTGAGCTTATTTATACCATATATACATATATAGATTTTTGTGACACAATCAAAAACAAATGAAGGTATACACTAAAACATTTTAGAGGCTCTGTGCTTTGCAACAAGGTAGACGCAGATATTGGTAGAGCTGAAGTTGACTGGATGACACTGTGAACATGTATTTAAGATTTCAATGCATTCTTTGTTTTTGTAAGGCAGAAGGCCAGATACTGACACAAAGGACCGCAATTGGCTCACGGGCCTTAGTTTAAACTTGCCTGACCTAACAATATAGACAAAGCCCACTAGTATCAAATGTTGATCTACTACCAGTGCTATAATATTGGTAAGGGGTTGAAACTTCAATTTATATAAAGTATTTTTAAGCTGATGCTGGCCCAGAATGTTAACGCCATAAAGTTGTCCTGTGTTATTATTTCAAATATAAATAAGCCCTAACTGTAAAATTATAAAATTTGCCCCAATTTGGTAATTGGTTATTGTGATTCTATTAAAAAAATATATATAAAAAAATGAAGAATCAGTGAATGAAGTTTATTTGAACATGGGATAAAAACAATAGAGTAAGAACAAAAAATCAAACAACAACAAAAAGGAAAAAAAGAAAGAAATGTCAACAACAAGTCTTAAGACTTGTTGTTGACATTTGTTGTTTGGCTTTGATAAGCCAAAGCTTTTTCAATCCCACTCCTTCTCCATATGTTAATTCAATATATTGTGATAAGTTATGAAACAAATATCATACTAAAAATAAAAGAAACTATAGAAATCTGTGTTGAATGTGAAAAAGATGCATCCTTGAATATTGTGTAGCTGTAACCCATAAACATAAAGTGTTCTGTGTGTGTGGTTATACAATAGTTTGATGTACAGACAACTTTAACATTGATTGATGGCATTGAATCCCATTGAGTGGTTATTAGAATGCCTTGTTATAACCAGTGCATTGTTGTGTAGCTCACTAGTGAATCTGGATGCGCCCCATAATCATAATGTAAAACGTTCTTCATTCTTTTAGAGAAACATTATGATTTTTCCTCACCTCCATTTGCAACATTAAACTTGATCCCAAAGTCTCCTCCCGGACCTCCAGGGTTGTGGCTGGCTGTGAGGATGATCCCACCGATGGCTTTGATCTTTCTGATGATGCAAGACACAGCAGGGGTGGACAGCAGGCCGTTATGTCCGATGACTAGACGGCCAATCTGCACAGAAAGAAAGTCAGTTTTTCCATCATGTGATACTTTATAAACAATAGGACTCCCAGAATTATGAAACTACTAGAACTGCCAGAGTAATCATTTTGACTGCAAAAGTAGGAAATGCATAAAGTTTTGTTTTTACCTTCACACACTTTTAATAAGAGCTAAAACTGGTGAATATAACTTAAAATAGAGCAAAATAATAGTTTGTTGAGAGGAAATGCTCACTGTTAACAATAAACAGTGTGTTGCCATGGTAACTTGGCACTTGCCCTCCTCTGGTGAAAAATAACTGCTGTTGCAATTAAAGTTATGACTCCTCACATATAAAAGAGGCTTTAATAAAAACTGTCATGGTGTGAACTTATTGACTTTCTGACCTGGTTTTATTTTGCCATAATATATTCTCTTGTTGCTTGAGTTTGCTTCCTGTCTCCTGTTGATTGTTTGCCCTGCCCTGATGTGTTTCACCTGTGTGTCCCTGTGTGTATCTATTCCCTGTGCTTTTCCCCACTTGTTGTCCGTCCATTCCTAACTTGTTTTCAGATCTGGATTTTGTTGTATTTTGGCATTACCTTGAATTTATTTGATTTAATTACATTTTATTTTCAGTCCTGCATTTTGGGGTCATTTTTTTATTTTATCACATCAATCAATTAATCAATCAAATTTATTTATAAAGCACAATTCATACAGTGTAACCCAAAGTGCTTCACGAGCAATTAAAAGACAGACAATTAAACATAAAAACAGTGTGTATACATATAAAACTTATTGTATTAAAAAAGATAAAAGTTAAGAACATAAAAATAAATGCTTCAAATTAGTCATATGCATTCCTGAATAGCACAGTTTTCAGCTTGGACTCAAACATTGCCAGGGACAAGGTCTGTCTCACAAGCCCAGGGAGACTGTTCCAAATTCTGGCCGCATGAATTTGAAACGCTGCCTCCCCCATGTCTAGTCCTGACCCTAGGCACTAGCAGGAGGCCAGTCCCCGTGCTCCTCAAGGTCCGAGTCGGTTCATATGGCGCTAACATGACAAAAACACTGAAATAGAAATAACCCTAACCTAAAAAGTACACACATGGAGTAAAAACGCTTTTTTGGGTTGTGTGCACACACATTTAGAAAAAACAAAACCACTTGTATACCAACCACACAATAACATCACCCAAAAGACTCATGCGTCCCACTCTGACCCCTGAGACAAGGCCGTGAGGGGAGAGGATGTCCGCACGCAGCAGCACAGTACGCATGGAGGGAAGTGCTGATAAGGCCACATGGACACACACTTTCAGCCTGGCCAGCACTAAACGGATGAACTGACGGACTTCCAAAACAAATGATGTTCCCTTTAGGTTTTCCTCTGAAGCTTGCCCAAACTCGTGGCCTGCTTAGTCAGCTTGTGATCTGCCTTGGCATCTCCCATATCCTGGTCAGATGTGCACTTGTGAAGCTGCTGCGGCTGTGGATCTCACTGGGGATTGTGAGGCGTAAATGTTTTATTTTATACATAATATCAAGATAAGATAAGACTTTATTGATCTCACAATGGAGAAATTTACGTGTCACATTTGGCATATATAGGATCACTCAGGGTGTGCAATTGACAATAAATGTGCTAAAAAGTGTCTAAAAAGTCTAAAAGTGAAATGATTGTACATCATATATATTGATGAAGAAAGCCAGCATGCGTAAGCTCCAGGTGGCCTATAATGATGCTTTGCGTGTGCTTTTGAAAAAGCCGAGATGGTCAAGTGCCACAGAAATGTTTGTTAATGCCAGAGTGAGCACTTTACAGGCCGTGCTAGGAACTTTGATGTACAGCTTTATGTGTCGATTGAACACGTCTGAAAATGAAATAATAGTGTCCCTCACGAATATAAAATGGAGTGCGACACGGTATCAATCTGACTTGTGGAGACATTGGCATGATTGTCTTTTTAAAATGCCATTTTAATTGTTTGTCTTGTCCTTTATTTTTATTTTATTTTATTGGACTATGACCACGGGGCCCGGCCGGGCTCAGCCCGAAGGGATGACGTGGGCAGTCCCTCCTGTGGGCCCACCACCTGCAGAGGGGTCCGTGGTGAAGCGGTGCTGAGAGGACTGGGCGGCAGTCGAAGGCGGAGACCTCGGCGACCCAGTCCGCACACACAACATCTGGCTCTTGGGACGTGGAACGTCACCTCACTGGGGGGGAAGGAGCCCGAGCTCGTGGGGGAGGTTGAGCGATACCGACTAGAGATAGTCGGCCTCACCTCCACACACAGCTTGGGCTCTGGAACCCAACTCCTTGAGAGGGGTTGGACGCTCCACTTTTCTGGAGTTTCCCGCGGGGAGAGGCGGCGAGCTGGGGTGGCCATTCTCATTGCCCCCCATCTCAGCCGCCACGTGTTGGAGTTCTCCCCGGTGAATGAGAGGGTCGCGTCCCTCCGCCTCCGGGTGGGGGACAAGTCTCTCACTGTTGTGACGGCCTACGGGCCTAACGGCAGTGTAGAGTACCCGGCCTTCTTGGAGTTCTTGGGAGGGGTACTGGACGGTGCACCGCCCGGGGACTCCGTTATTCTCCTGGGGGACTTCAACGCCCATGTGGGAAACGCCAGTGACACTTGGAGAGGGGTGATCGGGAAGAGCGGCCCCCCTGATCTGAACCCGAGCGGTGTTCAGTTGTTGGACTTCTGTGCCAGTCGCGGTTTGTCCATCACGAACACCATGTTCGAGCACAAGGGTGTCCACCAGTGCACGTGGCACCAGGACACCCTAGGCCGGAGGTCGATGATCGACTTTGTTGTCGTATCATCTGACCTTCGACCGCGTGTCTCGGACACTCGGGTAAAGAGTTCCCAGGGTCTGCTGGGAACGTCTCGCTGAGCCCCCTGTCAGACGGACTTTCAACTCACACCTCCGGGAGAGTTTCTCCCAGGTCCCGGCGGAGGAGGGGGACATGGAGTCCGAGTGGACCATGTTCTCTGCCTCAATCGCCGATGCGGCGGCTCGTAGCTGTGGTCGCAAGGTCTCTGGTGCTGGTCCCGGCGGCAACCCCCGAACCCGGTGGTGGACACCGGCAGTAAGGGATGCTGTCAGGCTGAAGAAGGAGTCCTATCGAGCCATGATGGTTCGGGGGACTCCTGAGGCAGCTGTCCAGTACCGGCAGGCCAAGCGTGCCGCGGCCCGGGCTGTTGCAGAGGCAAAAACCCGGGACTGGGAGGAGTTCGGAGAGTCCATGGAGCATGACTATTGGTCGGCCTCGAAGAGATTCTGGCAAACCATCCGACGCCTCAGGAGGGGGAAGCAGTTCTTTGCCAACACCATGTACGGTGCGTGTGGAGAGCTGCTGACCTCGACTGGGGATATTGTCGGGCGGTGGAAGGAATACTTTGAGGTTCTCCTCAATCCCCCCGTCACGTCCTCCGTTACAGAGGCAGAGGCTGAGGATGTTGGGGCGGGTACATCCATCTCCCTGGCTGAGGTCACCAAGGTGGTTGGTAGCCTCCATGGTGGCAAGGCTCCGGGTGTGGATGAGATCCGCCCTGACTATCTAAAGTCTCTGGATGTTGTAGGACTGTCTTGGCTGACACGTCTCTGCAACATCGCGTGGCGATCGGGGGCAGTGCCAATGGAGTGGCAGACCGGGGTGGTGGTCCCTCTCTACAAGAAGGGGGACCGGAGGGTGTGTTCCAATTATTGTGGGATCACACTCCTCAGCCTCCCCGGTAAGGTCTACTCCAAGGTACTGGAGAGGAGGTTACGGCCGATGGTCGAATCTCGGATCCAGGAGGAGCAGTGTGGTTTTCGTCCCGGTCGCGGAACACTGGACCAGCTCTATACTCTCCATCGGATACTCGAGGGTTCATGGGAGTTCGCCCAACCTGTCCACATGTGCTTTGTGGATTTGGAGAAGGCGTTCAACTGTGTTCCCCGGGGTGTCCTTTGGGGGGTTCTCCGGGAGTACGGGGTCGGAGGTCCTCTGCTGAGGGCCATCCGATCCCTGTATGACCGGAGCCAGAGCTGTGTTCGCATTGCCGGCAGTAAGTCAGACCTGTTCCCGGTGAATGTTGGCCTCCGACAGGGCTGCCCTTTGTCACCGGTTCTGTTCACTGTATTTATGGACAGAATATCTAGGCGCAGCCAGGGGTCGGAGGGGGTCCGGTTCGGAGACCACAGGATTTCATCTCTGCTATTTGCGGACGATGTTGTCCTGTTGGCTCCAACGAACCAGGACCTGCAGCATGCACTGGGGCGGTTTGCAGCCGAGTGTGAAGCGGCTGGGATGAGAATCAGCACCTCCAAATCAGAGGCCATGGTGCTCGACCGGAAAAAGGTGCCTTGCCCTCTGCAGGTGGGTGGAGAGGTCCTTCCTCAAGTGGAGGAGTTCAAGTATCTCGGGGTCTTGTTCACGAGTGAGGGAAGAATGGAGCGTGAGATTGACAGGCGGATCGGTGCAGCGTGCGCAGTTATGCGGTCGCTGTATCGGACCGTTGTGGTAAAGAGGGAGCTGAGCCGAAAGGCAAAGCTCTCGATTTACCGGTCAATCTTCGTTCCCTCCCTCACCTATGGTCATGAGCTTTGGGTAATGACCGAAAGAACGAGATCGCGGATACAAGCGGTCGAAATGAGCTTCCTCCGCAGAGTGGCTGGGCGCTCCCTTAGAGATAGGGTGAGGAGCTCAGTCACACGGGAGGAGCTCGGAGTAGAGCCGCTGCTTCTCCACGTCGAGAGGAACCAGTTGAGGTGGCTCGGGCATCTGTTCTGGATGCCTCCTGGACGCCTCCCTGGGGAGGTGTTCCGGGCACGTCCCACCGGGAGGAGGCCCCGCGGAAGACCTAGGACACGCTGGAGGGACTATGTCTCTCAGCTGGCCTGGGAACGCCTTGGGGTCCCCCCGGACGAGCTGGAGGAAGTGTGTGTGGATAGGGAAGTCTGGGCGTCTCTGCTTAGACTGCTGCCCCCGCGACCCGGCAACGGATAAAGCGGAAGAAAATGGATGGATGGATGGATGGATGGATGGACTATGAGTCCGGAATAAAGTTGAATTGAATTGCACTATAAAAATAAATTGTGATAATAAAATGGATGGACTTTGCTTCACTGTAACCTTTTGCAACACTTTTGCAAGTATCTAAACTGGTCATAAGTGATTTTGCTGTATTAGACTGTTGTGAAGAGGGAGCTGAGTCAAAGGCAAATCTAGATTTCCACCTTCACCTATGGTCATGGGCATTGGGTTATGACCAAAATGTGGTTGAAATGAGACTGCAAAAAATTATGCATTATTTATTTAAATGATATATCATATATGAATATGAGATAATAATTGCTTGAATCAAGTGTTTATTTTCGTAATTTGAGTACATTCTAACACATTGGGACTATACCTTAAAACAAGATTTGCAGATGGAACAAAGCAATTCAGTTATTTCAAGAACTGTTGCTTTATTTTCTCATTCTAAGGGAAACAATCCTTTAAATTAGGGTTATTTGGCTATTCCCATTGGAAAATCTTTGTGTTAAGGCATTCACAATGTGTTTTTAGACTTATTTTTCATCACTTTTTGCAGTGTGCAGAGTGACTTGGCGCTCCCTTAGAGATAGGATGTGGAGCTCAATCACATGGGAGGAGCTTGGAGTAGAACCACTGCTCCTCAAGCCAAGATGATGTGAGTCTTCATCTTTCTCGTACAGCTCTTGGATGATTCCATATTCTGAAGGTCAGAGGTCAAGAGCCAGCGAGGCAGCCAGATTTCACTCTTTTGATGCTTGTTTCCGGCTCCCAGACTAATCTTAATAAGCATTATTAGTATGAATATTTTTTGTGTTGAATTTCATCAGTATAAAAACATCATTTAAACAAAAGGATACATTATTACACTAAAAATGTGTTTCAAAAAATCATACATTGGGAGACTTTTTCGGTTCTCTCTGCTAAAAACGTTCCCGACGTCCACTCTGGGTGGTGTGTGAAGGGAAGTCCCTTCACCGGAGCTGTAGAGAAGGGGTCAAGAGGCGCTATAGTTTAAAAGCCCTTGCTGTCCTCGTGACCCGGTCCCAGATGAGCAGAAAAAAATAGATTGACGGAAATACCTGAATGCCATCTGAATCATGCCATGCTGAAGAACATTAGGCATTGCAATAACAACAAGTTTGTTTTGTTTTTTGTTCAATGTATGTATCTGTCATTTAAAAAACATTTAAACACTCACAATAATAATAATGTATTGGTTTTATATAGGGCTTTTTTGGTAACTCAAAAAACGCATCCCATGGCATCATTCATTTGCTTCATAGCTGGGGATAAACTACTAATGGAGCCGCAGCTGCCCTGGGGATGGCTGACAGGAGGGAAACGGTATTTGCCATCAGCCCCTCAAACCACCACCAACCATTCACACACATACCAGACTCATTCTAGGCAATGTGCCTTGCCTAAGGACACAACAAAAGTTTGTCACTTTACAGCCGCAGCTGCCCTATATACCGGGGCATCTGGTGTTCTTGGAGGTTTCCCACAGCACAAAAATACAAGAAACACTTTTTTTTCTCTAAAATATTCGACTTTGTTTTTAGTATGTCTGTCTTTCCTCAATGTAGATGATTAGAATTAGAAAGGAGAGCTTGATACAAGGTGCTCTGGTTTGAAAGAGGGCCGTGAGCTGCCTGTTCTGGAGGTTCTTTATGAATCCAGATTCTTGAATCGATCTCTTAAAATAATTAATGACTCTTCTGGCCCCTGGAAAAGCCATGTTCCAGCTTCTTCCCTTTGACAGAAGATATTGTTCGCTGAGGTGCAGGACCTCTCGATATGCAAACAGCTTTTTTCCACAACCTGATATCAGTTTAAACAAAAATATAGATCTTGCACTTGTTATTGAAACTGTTTTTGTTTATTGATTTCACAGTGACAATTGTTTCTTGTACTTTATAGCTTGTTTTATTTTATATATTTGCCTAGTGCACACTGGGATAACTTTACACATCAGTGTGGTTTGGATAATAAAATAAATCTGAATCTTAATCAAAATTACAACATTTGAATAGGCCTAATAGCTTGAGTGAGTTTCTATTGGCCCCAAACACAATATCCCAATGACAGGCCACAGACACTCACCCCGTTGGCCGCTGCCATCTGGACAATGACCTCAATGGCCACCCGGCTGAAGTGGCGCCCGTCACTGCCCACCACCATGGTACACCCCTGGCGGTCCCGCAGGTCAATGGACGACAGCAGACTCTGGATGTAGTTCTGCAGGTAGTTTTTCTTCCCCTCAAACACGGCTGTTTTCCTGCGTAGTCCACCCGTCCCGGGCCGCTGGTCTTCAAAAGGCGAGGTTTGGACCGTCACCACCGGGATGGGACTCGTCTCCATCCTTCAATCCCCTCCTGCTGTCTTCACAAAGTATAAGCTGGGAATTGTAGGGAAAGTTGAGAAGAGGTGTTTTATCTCTGGGACTACAAAGTGGTATTCTCTGTGCTGTCTGGTGTTCAGATCTACTCCCTCTGATGCGCTGAAAGGTCCAACAACTGACTTTACAGCGAAGAGAGAAACGGGGAGGGCCACTATCAGCTGAGAGAGTAAAAATAGCTGGATGACTGTGCAGGGGATTGTGCTGCGCAACCAGACACTATACAACTTATGAACAACACATCTATCAATAACAGCTGAATCTCATTGGCTGCGTGCATTTGCGTTTAGTTATTATACCCCTAAAATGAATTTCTGTTGTAAACCAATTATTTGTTTTCTCACCTGCTGGCTTTGCTTGAACTTCATGCATAACTTGGACTGTATCTCATCCAAACACAATGCTGCCATCTGCTGGTAGAAAGAGGGAGATGCAGAAACTGATGTGCAAACTACAGTCTATGGGCAAGATACGTGCGTCTATATTTTTTATTTCTGGATTTATTAAAGCCTGTTCCTAATCAGGTAATGATGAGTTTTATCCCAGTTTAAAAAAAAATCTCATTTGCAGAATGACAACTGCAGTTTTAAGATGCTCTTATATACTTTTCATTCGCTAAATCTTCTTCTTTGCTAAATTATATTAGCAGCATGAAAATGGGTTAGGGGTTCCCAATAGAACGAGAAAAAATATTTAACTCTGAAACAATATGAATGAAAATATAAATCCTTCCGAATGCCAACAAACAAATGCTGCAAATATTACAAGTCTGAGGACTGTGAAGGTCTCTATGAATTTAATATCATTTCAGAAGTTTCATTTTATGTTCTCCATTGTGATGTTAACTCAAGGTCAACGATGGTTTAAAGAAAACAGCCTCTATAGTGGCACACCAGGTTTTAATGTTTTCTTGTCAATGTGGTCCGCATCTGGTGCAACCATAGACCATGGATCTATTATAATAAACGCATCCAATGGAGGCCATGTTTAATGAGTAGATTTTGACTCCTTTCATTTGAAGCTATTGTGTGTTTTTTAAGCACATGCCAGTTCTTTAAAAACATGAATGAGTTGTTTTCAAAAAAGTTGAAATGTATACACATTAACTCGTATTTTTGAGTAACAATATTTATTACAAAAACAGTGGCATATTCAGTTTGTCTCATGAATAACACAAATAGCCTCCAATATATTATTCCAGCTCTTATTTACATATGCTTCATAAAATCACAGTTTCCCAACAGCGTGTACATAAATATCATGCAATAGTAGATTTCTTTAAGAAACACTCGTGTAGCTCCGCAGGGTCTTGAGGGTCCTCAGCAGCGGGGAAAGCCCATGCACAGCGGCTCTGTCATCAGGGGGGCTGTGGTCAGGATCGGGGCCGGACAGAACTGAGTCCTGGGCACGAGTGGCACCATGAAGGGAGCAGAGAGCTGTGGGTACGGAGCAGCGCTGTGAGGTGGGGTCTGTCCCTGAGTCCGTCCTGGGGGGCTGCAGCTGGAGGAGGATCTGCTCATGATGCTGTCGATGCTGAACGAGCACTTGGGACGCGGCGCACACTTCACTGCTTCTGGACGCGCATGTGTAAAGTCCGCCCTGAAGTCACTGCTTTTACCCATAGACGGGGGCAGAACCGGGTAAGACGTTGGCATCAGGGGTCCCTCTGGAACAGCCATGTAGGGAAAGGGCAGTGCGGGGGGGCTCTGGCCCTGCACGCTGTAGGGGAAGGCTCGGTACCCGGGGAAGAACATGAGTCTGTCTTTGGGCTGGTGCCGCTTGAAACGCTTCCTGCGGCGAAGGAAACTCCCGTTGTCGAACATGTCCTCGGACGCCGGGTCCAAGGACCAGTAGTTGCCTTTCCCCGGGTTCCCAGGCTCCCGCGGGATCTTGATGAAGCAGTCGTTGAGAGAGAGGTTGTGTCTGATGGAGTTCTGCCAGGCTGGAAACTTCTCTCTGTAATAGGGGAACTTGTTGCTGATGAAGTCGCAGATGCCGCTCAGGGTGAGCTTCTTGTGCGGGCTCTGCAGGATGGCCATCGTGATGAGCGCGATGTACGAGTACGGGGGCTTCACCGCGCTGCTCTGACCCTTCCTGCTGGGGGCCGCGTCTGCGCAGAAGCTGCCCTCACTCTCCCCTGACGACTCGGGCTCCGAAGAGTCAAACTCAGGTCCCGATTCAGCGGAGGAGCCTGGGTCACTGGGGTAAAAGTTCCGTGTGCTGGGCTCGTCCTCGCCCACGATGTCGATCTCATCCTCCTCCAGCTTCAGCGCTGCGTGTCTCTGGGACAGCTCCATGGTCCCGGACAGAGTCATGGCAGAAGACGCGCTATAGGTCACTGTGCCGCAGCGACACGAACTGTTGTCTGTGCGTAAAAAGTAAAAGGCCGTTCAGGAATAGTTGTGTTTAGGCTCTGCTGGTCACTGCTGTCCTGCTCTGAAGCACAGCCTTTATACTGTGTGATCTCCGGACAGTCCCATTAACCCTCTGCGCCTATGAGAGCCACCCTGCGCCGCGGGGGGCCACTTGAGGGAGGGGGTCGTGAGGATCTCACAGAGCGCACAGCCTCTTCGCAAACACCTCCATTTTCATGCGCCCTCTTCCAATTTCCTCTCACAAACAATCAGACTGCAACTTGTCCCACAGTACGGACACCGGAATGGTTGATATACTTTGAGGAGAACACGGGGTCATTCGGCCCCAGTGCGTCACATGTTGACGTTGGTCACTGCTCCACATACAGGGGTGTTCTTAATGGAGCTGCAGTTAGTTGGGTGTGAGTCTCAGAGGCTGATAATATCTTTAGGCCTATATGTTACAAATGTTTAATTCTTTAACACCACACCTAAACCCGCGTTGGGACCCCTGCGGTTCGTTTAGTTTGCCACCTCTGGATGGCCTCGGGTGGTGTGACCATGAAAATGGCCGTGGTGGAGCCCCCCGCAGGCCTCTCTCAATAGAGGCAGTAGTGGCCTTAACGAGGCCATCAGCATCAGAATCAAGTAGGAAACGGCCCAGCTGCATGGTGCGCGCTGGGCGAAGGCTCAGCGGCTTTATGACCTCAAAGCAAACGCTCCGATCGCGGATATGTGTAAAACCACGCTGCTTTGACATATCCATTGCAAATTACCGAGTTGGGAAAACTCCACCTATTTCCTCACCTGACAACGCTTTGAACGTGTATAAGTGCTCCTCACATGACCGGAGAGGAAACAAAGATAACAGTATTCCAACTGATTAGAAAGGGCCTTTTCAAGTCAACGAAAAAACTAACGAGACATCGAGGCCCTTAAAATGAGCTGCATCAAGCTCGACGTAAAAAAAACTATATGATGTTTAAATAAGAAATAGTTACGAGTAATAACTTTTCCCCCACTGATCCATTGACGTTTCAATGTGACTACATGCACATTACAAACTAAATACAAACACTCAAAAGTATAGCATTTGCAGTTTTATTATACAGTTTTAATAAAATGATAGAAGAAGAATATAACAAAATATCACATTCAAACCATCGTATTGTGCAAAACTCTGGAGATGAACTGTTCCCGTAGAAGGTCTTTATCCAGATTTCTACCTGTCAAACACAGAATGAAAAAACAATGAATTATGTTGATAATTTATTTATCTAGTGATTGATTTTCTTTATTATATACATTGACATAGAAAATGTTTAAGTGAAACTCCCGGTGGACATTCTAAAACAAATGTCTTTGTTCTTAACGTCTGCTCAGTTTAAAGCACATCTTACCTTGTGTGTGTTGCAGTCTCTAGAGCAGTTTATCGACAATTCATCAACAATAAAATTAGTTTTTTTAAACGATTACTGATTTCTGAAACAACTTGATTAGTTGCGGTAAAACAATACATTTTTACAGCTCTAAGTATTAGATACAAACCATACTTGTACATTTCTCCATCTTGAGATCGATAAAGTTTTATCTTATATTATACTTCCAGGGATGACATCACAGCCACTTTAAACTCTCATAAAAGGTAACAGGAAACTGTAGTAAATCCATCCATCCATCCATTTTCTACCCTTTAATCCATTTCTGGGTCAGGGGGGTGGCAATCAGAGATGCCACCCAAGTCTCATAGCACCAGCCCCTCACTGACCCTCTGCAGGTGGTGAGTCCACAGGAGGACGGCTGCTCTCTGACTGTGAGCATAGCCTTGATCTTTCAGTGGGGGCTTTGGGCAAAGTGGGGTTAAGTGTCTTGCCCAAGGACACACCGACAGCAGGCATCAGTGGGAGTCGGTGGAGAAGGTGTAGAGGTCCCTTTTATTTTACCAAGTGCCTCAAATTGTTTTTGAATCATAAAAAAATGTCTAAACTAAACGTATTGACTGATTTAATAATTAGAATGAATGATAATTGCTCCAAGCTTGACTGGTGCAAAACAGGTACGTAAACCCTAAACCCTACACTTTCTTATATTTGAATATTTGACATGTGTTTACCTCTGTGTTTCCTGCAGCAGCAGTCAGAGTGGTGCTCATTGTCCCAGATCAGACGTGGCACTAGTCGCACGTGTCAGAAGCTGTGAATGGCAGTGGGTTTATTTACCTATAAAAACCAGCCTGTTGATGCGAGCGCTGCCCTCCCATGTCTGAGGAGTTTCGTTCAGCTCGTACAGCTCGTGCACCCCCTGCAGCATCACCTGGTGCTCCTTCCCTGCTACCGCTATTATGCCCTGAGAGGGAAGCAAACAAGGGATTCAGTGAGACCGCAAATTCACCGGGGTTAAAGAAGTGTCACGTGTCTGTAGATTCCTCGATCACTGTTTAGTAAAAATAAAAATGAATGAAACTGAAAATGAATTGAAATGTGCGAGTCTTGGTAAAAACAGGGAGTGTTTGGAAGTGGAAGCTTGATTTGAAAGGGATAAGAATTTCTCAAACATGCAAAACTCACTCTAGAATTATTCCTTGTGCTGTCCTCAGGTCTAATTGAAAAATGTAGCTGAATTTTGAAGATTTTTCCTGCATTTTAAAGCCACAACAAATAGAACTTAATCAAATCCTTACAGTTAAAATAGAACGAAAACCTTCCAAAAGCAAGAGCAAGATTTAAAGGAGTTGAAGCATGACACAATGATCTCTTCAAAATGAAAGTATTCCTTCCTGTGATCATAGTAAAGTCACATGGTTCCGGTCACGTAGAAACAGACTCTTGTTGATAATAAAAGCAGTGATTGATGTTCTCCGTCAGCAGTGCGACCATTGTCCCGGCCTCGTACCTTCAGCCGTATGACTGTCATGGGGTGGCCCTCTTTGTTGCAGAACAGCTTTTCCCATAGAAGGTCCTGCAACAGCGGAAAATGGAAGTTGACTTTTCAAAGGACTGCATTGTTGTTGGAAATTAGAATTAGCTGCATGAGACGGAGGTTGGGCACAGCGTTTACTTGGACAAAGACGTTAAGCGAGTCTTCGGACAGGTCCCCGGGCACTTCGAACGTCACGGTTACAATACTCTGGGAAAACAGAAATAAAAAATAAAAATATTGATTACGTAAAAGCCAGCATGGATTTGTCAGTGAAGAGAAGATGTGCAGATCTCTCTTCGGCTGTATTTAAATTCAATGCAATTACTTTTTTTGTTAAATCAATTAAATTCACTCTTGCATAGCCCTAAATCACAACATTTGCTAGAGGACTTGACAAAACCGTTGAGTTCGCCAACACAGATCAGAGAATCAAACAGTTCAAGTACAAGAAATAGAACAGAAAACATATTGGTATTGGTCCATAAGGGGCAGATGATCAATAAATGTTGATAAATGTCCATAAATGTAGTAGAATGTTGAGTTTCCTGGATCATCACCATTGTCCTTTTTGTTAGACCTCACAAGGCTCTTACAGACCCTCCTGCATCGGCAAGGAACAACTCTAAACCCTAACTCTAAACTCAAGTTGTAGATTTAAGATTTGGTTTGTAAACTCTCCCGTTTTGTGGATTGTGGATCATGGTTCCTTAACTCAGCCGGGGCAGGTCCTCCACTGCGCACAAGTTTACATGTTTTTTGTTTTATATTCCTCATTTTGGTTTACCTTTAGTCCCCTAAAAGTGTGTTTTGCATTATATTCTGTCCTATTGTGAATTGTTGTGAAACATTTGGGTTATAAATTCTTCCACATTATGTATAAAAATATGTTGGCATGATGGATACACACAGATGTAATTGATGCAATTTAGTCTGAATGAGTTAAATGTGGATTTGAGACAAGAATACTGAGGCGACAAGTAGAAAGTGGTTGAATGGCACAAAATAATGCTTTAGACAAAAGCTTTTATTGTGAGCTCAGCAGAACTCACTGAAAAGGAGACTTTCATACTCCATAAAGAAACAGGCCTCATTTTAAAACATGGAAAACTGATACATTTTTATATAATAATGATCTCATGTTTTGACCATTTTTTCTTTATCATATGTATGGGTTAGTTTTTGCAATTATTTCAGGAAAACAGATTAGATTCACCAACGAGCTCCAGGATCTTTTTAAAGGAATGGCTTTTGGTGGAGGTCTGCCCTCTACAAGAACGTTTCGAGTTTGTTTGATATATTTTTTTTTAAAATAATGAATATACTTATTTTGTCGACTGGGACAAAGCATTTACATTAGACAAATCAGATCCACTTCCTATAGAAAACAGCTGATTTTCCACACAAGATGAAAGAATACTTTGCACAATTTTAAAGCTGGGGCACTTAACATTATTCTTCCATAGATACAAGAAAAGATATAATATTGTAAGTAACGTTTTGTGAACAAATCTGCACACATCTAATTAGAAAACATCTTTTTGCATATAGAAATGGCCCCGTGTGTCACTAGCTGATGATATGGGCTCAAAGGTGATTTGTTGAGTGAGGGTTGTCTGAACTTTTTCCTTTTTCTGTCTGAAAAAGCTGATCTAAAATGTGACAGAGGCCAAAAACATACATGTGAAAACTATAGTGCGAAGATTCAGGAACTAGTTCAATGGATGTGATCACGCTGAGTGTGGTTTAAAGTCTTTTTAACAACCCTAGAAACACACACACACACACCAATGTGGCAAAATAATAATGTCTTTTAAACATTGTAGATTTTTATGCGATCACTTTGTTATTTCATTAAATTTATTTCAGATCACCACAAGTACAAAAATACATGACATTTTTTGTTCATAAATTTGTGAGTCCCCAAAAACCTCTGCAAAGCTTGTAAATTGAGCCCTACTTGTTTCCTTCTTCTTTCCATCCCATGTGCTTTTATCACAGGATGAGCTAAGCTTGGTTCTTGTGTTGTGAGCAAATAACGGCATTGTTTTCCGTTCTCTCCGAATCGCCGTTCCCGCATGAAGCCTCACTGTACCCCCCGGTCCCGCCCTCACTCATCCAGACCACCCCCCCTCTCTGTGTTGCTCTTTTCATGTAAATGAGAATGCTGTTTTTCTGTTGTTATACCAAATGACAAGGAAGTGTGTACCCTTAACACTTTGACACAAAACCCCCCAAATATCTGCAAAGTGCCCTTTAAATGTTGTAAGGAAGTTTGGAGAGGAGGCAGTGCGTATGTGTGAAACGGCCCAGAGAAGAAGGAGAGAGGGGGGAGAGAGGGGGGAGAGAGGGGGGAGAGGGGTGCCGAGTGGACTTGTGGCTATTCACGCGGCCGTTCACGAGCCATCAGCTGGGGCGTAATAAACAGTTTGTATTTAAAATGTACCTAATGACCTCACTGGTTTGGCTTAAGACTGGAAATATAGGTCACATTTGTTACATTTGATAGTAGTTGTAATTAGAGGATCTGTTCATGTGACTTGAGGAACTTGAATAAAAGTACATCTTTTGTTTCACCTGAGCTTCAAGGTCTTATTGATGACAAATTAAATAACATGGTGGTTTAGCCTTCAAATCTATACTCCAATATTAGAGGAGTTTCTGTTTTGTCTTGTATAAAGCCCAGTGCATTCGGTAAAACTTTGGTAATGACGTTTTAACATCAATGAAACTGCCTGTGACACGACCCCAGACCTTGTCATTTTCTTTAATACAGAAGTGTGTCCCAACAGAAAGGGTCTTGAAAAATAATTATGTTGTGAGCCAATCAAACCGCAACATGCCGTCTTTGTCTTACTAGAAAACGATTCATATCTTTATTACCTGTAAGAAAGAGCCCTCGGGAGTCACGCTTTTCGATCTCAGAGCTGTTCTTAAGATGTGACAGAAGCCAAAAACTGTTAAGATGAATTAATATATCTTACAATGGAGAACTTTACAAGATTTGCGAGGGAGGAACAAGTTACCTACTCATGGATTCATGGACACCCCTGATCATTTGTCGTGATTATTATATCACGTTATGTCATCTTTTCATTTGTGAGTGCAAATAAAGACATACAGCCGGAGTAAACTCATATCTACATATACGAGAGAAATAGTTCATATGATATGTATTCTGAAATTTCTCCACTGTAAGACAAATGAAGGAATATCTTATCTTTTTATTAATAGTTTGATTGCAATCAGCCCTGTTATATTACAGTATGAGAACCCTTCACACCTGCTTCACGTGCAGTGGCAGGCTCTGGTCAGTCTAGCCACCTGTCTGTGCCCGTCTATGACCTCCGCTGTTTGAGTCGTATACGACTGTTTCTACCTGAGCTACATCAAAAGCCTCAAACCCCAGCGAGGGAGGGGTCACTTTTCACCCCTGTGACGCAGCCTGAGGGAATACAGCCTCTGCTAAAGACGAGCTCTTTATGCCAGAGGAAATGATGTGTCAGGATGCATTAGCAAACAACACACAGGGACAACAGAGGAGGAGAATCATACCTTATCCAGATGAGGATGAGGAGATCGCATCAGCTGCAGCTTCTCAGACAGACTGAGGCAGAGGGAACAACAGTCACATGTGAGTGTCCAGACAAGTAAAAAACCCACAAATGCACTTCAGTCAGTTCACAACACGGTCCTGACTAGAACCAGGAAGTATAAACATGTTAGTCCAGTTATCAGGTGTCTGCACTGGCTTCTTGTGGCTCAGAGATATAGCAGCTCTGCTTGTGTACAAGTATCTCCATGGCCTCGCACAAAGTACATCTACATTGAATTCATTGTTTATTTGGTTTGAACATTGCTTGTTTATGAACACACCTTTCCAGATTGAAGCTTTGGGCTAATTTGGATCCGTTGTTTGATGTTAGTGCCATATAAACCAACGACTCTGAGGAGCACAGGGACTGGTCTCCTGCTGTGATTTTGAGGAGCACTGGGTTTTCCTACTGGGACTCTGAGGAGCACTGGGCAGCCTCCTCCTGGTTAGCCTGCCCAGAGTCAAGACTAAACATAGGGAGCGTGATCATCAGCTAAAATTTGGAATGGTCTTCCTGAAAATGTGCAACAGGCTTCTACTCAACAATATTCATATCAACGTTTAAAACAGTTCTCATAATAGCAGTGTCAGTATAATACATTATTTAAGAAAGTATATGAACCTTGTACAAATGTCTTTTTATATAGTATTTTGCTACATGTAACTCAATGTTTGTCCTTAATGCAAACAGTGGGTTGTTGGGTCAATGTTTTGAAGAACTGTGACTCTACAAATAAAGATTGATTGATGAGGATACCGTGAGTGTAGGAGACATTGCTCTGACAATATGCGGCAACTAACAAATTAATGCTAAAATAATAATTTAAAAAGAGTAAACTGACTTTAATAACAACTCATCACAAATTGAAATAACTCAAGTGAATCATAATGCTTATAGCTCCTTTTCTATACTATCTTATTTGAAAAACTCGGACTCACTTCAGATCTCACTGCCCACACCGTTTATTTTAGCTTTTGTTTCTATCCTGTCTCTTTGTAAAGCATAAGGTGTGTCCAATAAAGCACTATATTAGGACGGTATTTTATTATTGTTATTGTTTAATGTGTGGAATGGATTGGAATAGATTGGTGGTTATGTTTTATGAAGTGTTTGATTCTCTGATCTGTGCTGGCAAATCTTGACGGTTTTGTAAAGTCCTCCGAGATAACTACTGTTGTGATTTAGGGCTATACAAAATACATTGAAATTAAATTGAATTGAACTGGCTGACAAAAAATCCATATGTTCCAGTCCCAGCACATTGGATCTTTATAGTGACCATTTAATGTGACTGATTTAACTTTTTTCTTTCTTCCTTTATTATTCTTAATTGTCAATTCATGCCTTGATTTGCAAATGTGCCTATTGTAGTTTGAGGCTTTTTTTTGGAAAACAGTTAAAATGACATAAATCCCTATTATTCTTTAAATCCAAAAGTAATCTCAAAGAAGCACAGGTTTTGTAGGACGTGACGAGGCCTGAGAAGGATGTGCTTCTAAGATTTAAAGTCTAATATAGGAGATTGCGTATCAATGCCTAATGAGCAGTGTCTGAATGGGAAGCTTTAGAAATGGCAATTAAACCCTACAAACCTCATGCTGTGACGCCCAAACAAACCTCCCCTCGCCCTCGCCCCCCCCTGGTCCAGGCCTCAAAGTGTCCAGGACATTTGGGCCAATTCAACAAAACCTATATATATTTAAAGGTTGAAAGGGAGAAGGGACAATCATTGAAACGGCAGTATATAATGAGGCTTGTTATGTGAAAATATGGAAAAAATGTAATCAATATGCAGTTTAAATATGAAATAAATAAATAAAAGCTGCAGGAAAAGATTATTCAAAAAGCACAGATGTTTCTAAACTTTACATGTTGTTTTGCCTGGATATTTGTCATTAAACTTTCCTTTTTAATGTATTAAACAATGTATTTTTTTGTATGTATTGAGCACTGAGATCGAACCCTAATTGAGGAATGTAAATGTTTTAAACCCTACGGAGCGTCATTAATATTCACTTGTATTCAAAAAACATCTTGCTTTTGTGTGTCGTGTGCTCCTCTTTCCTACTGTTCTGTAACCTGTGAAGCAACACTGATAATTTCTCACTGTGAGACAAATAAAGAATCTCTTCATCCTAATTTCTTGTCTATCCATCCATCTATTGTCTCTATCTCTCTACACGACACCATCTTGATTACCTATAAAATCTCTTTTTGGTTAATAAACCGTCATTTTAATCTCAAAATAATAACACTTTCTTATTTTTTAATTTTGTTTTGTACAAGTTATCCTGATAGAGATTAAAACATATAAAAAAAATGCTTTACAAATACAGTCTCGATATGTGCACAAATTATATCCCGTTTCAACACCAGTTTCCACTATGGATGAATATATTATTATTGAAACTTTTGACCAGCCTAATTTATAGTATACATTTATCTATCTATAAATCGATCTATGTGACGAATCCTTAAATCATGACTCTTCAAATGGTCAACTAACTAGATATAAGAAGTGGAGGCCTGAGATCTCGCCCCATCCCAGAGCTGTTTGTACCACACAGGCGGAGCTGTGGGGGGCCGCTTCAAACAGCCAGTGTGGGACCCCGGAGGAGGAGGGGCCCGCGCTCTCAAAGGCAGGGGAAAAGAGGCTATCTGTCGGGACAAGGGGGACACAGTAGGGGCCGATGGACACACATGGCTCTAATCCTCCGCAGCTGGTTGCATACACACAAGCCCAGGTCCATGTTAAGAGAGCCTTAACACTATTCACATGAAGGACGAACATTGAGTGTATTCATGAGCTAAACTTTCTACACGCCAAACAATATGATGCCCACCCTAGGGTGCTACAGGGCCGCGCTGAAAGAAAGAGTCTGTTAATTAGAGAGGAGCAGAGGGAGCAACAGTATCAAAGACTGTTAGGTATACACAGGCAAGCTTAGAGCCTGAGTACACTGATGGAAGACTTACATTTGCACTACACTGGAATTTTAGCATAAAGACAATAGAACCAGCCATATTCAGGGAAAATTAGGCGCATTCATGTCCCGCCAAAACAGCTTCTCTATGGTTTCGAATGGAGCTGGCTTGTGAGGTCAGAAGCCTATGGTTGGATTTTCTTTAAAAAATAAATTAAAGTAATATTATAGGATTTTTTCAGAAGACAAAAGGAGGATCAATAACAAAATAAATATGTTACAATAAAAAGCAGGGAAAGGGCTAATAGCAGAGACTTGATACAAAATCTTTTCTGTCAGCATAAACACACAAATGCTATTGTTATCCCATACATAAAAGTTCAGTGTCAGTGATAAGTTTGTAGAACCAACACCAAAACAAAAAGGTTCAACATTTTGAATCATATTATCATATTAAATAATAATCATAATATTTCCCTTAGTGTTTTAAAGGCCCCTTCAGAAAATATAGCTACAACTGTCTTACTAATTACGAAGGCCTGCTTTACTTTAATGTTGATGCTAAGAACTGGCACTTCATATCATTTTGATACCATAGTGAACAAAAAAAAAAAGTTTGTACACTAAACTGCACATTTTAAGTGCATTTACAAAGCTACACAGTGAATAACATATTTTCCATCTACTCCAAGTTGATTTGAGTGATGAAATTGGAGAAGCTAAACTCGCCAATTGAGGTGTGAAATACCAGCCCTTTCTGAGGTACTGGTGCACGCAGAGTCTATTGGGATTGAGCAGCGTGTATAAGCGTCAGTTGAATTGGAATGACAGGGGAATGACAGGGAAGCATCAGGAAAAGCCAGGCTTGTATTAAAACATTTTTTTTTAAATGGACGGGTGTAGGGTGCTCACTCATTTTGTTAAGGATCGAAACACAGTCCATCACTGCAAGACATCAAGTTTTGTTTTGCAACGCTAAAAGAGAACATGCTTTTAAGAGATGGCTGTGGAAATTGATGATGATTTATGCTGCAGTGGCCGAGTATGTGTGAAAACCAAACATAATGTCAAATGATTACATTTGCCAAGCGTTTCTTTATGATTTACAAATACAGTTGCAATGTTTGAGTAATATGGAAAAGTTACCTTTGAAAGCGTCCAAAGGTCTAGACTAGAACATGAGCGGCCTCTCCTCAGGGCTCACAGAGATGATACCAAAACCCGTCCCAGTGAATTGTACTGAGGACTTACTCCATCTTCTTAAGCTATTTAAAAGCTTTCATAAATAACAATACAACAATTAAGTTCTTTAATAGTACCCCATGGTTTTATAGTTAGTTCTGCTCTCAGAATCTCACATTTTTTCCATTATTTCAGTGTTGATACTATGGATCTTTAATGACATTTTTAACCAGCTGTGGTTAAAGTTGAACTCATCTTTCTAACAGTATGCACAAGGCAGTGAATTTCCAATGGTTATCTGAAGGCCAAAGCTACTGGCACTGTGGAAGTTGCTGATCGGAGCGTCTCCATTCCTCCATGCTGTAATATCACAAGCATTCTGGAAAAGTCTTTGTGTCTCGTCTCTACAATCGATAATAAAACATGTTTTCTGTCAGAAAGATGACCCCAGACCCCCTTGTCATTTTCTTCAATACTATTAGGTATCTAGTTTCTATATTCATTTTAGTATTGTTTATTATGATTTTTGATATTTTTTACAACCTTTCTCCAAACAGATGGGTGAGGTTGCACACAGACTTCTATTATAAAATAAATAATACATCTGTGACTTGTCTAATTGTTCCAAAGTTCATTTATCTCTGAAATTCAACTTAAAATGGGACACCAATAAATTATATTGACGTATCACATGCAACGTAACATATGCTAAGCCTTTTGGTTTTTTTACAGCTGTGAGCCAATTATCAACATTAAAACACATGAAGGCTTGATATATCTCACTGTGTCATGCTTTAGTTTCACATAATTGAAATTGATTTGCAAACGTAAATTAACTTTTGAACAATATTCAAATTTTCTGAGTTTCAAATGTTAATAAAACAATGCAAAACAACATTTAAAACCCAACTCACTTCGCTGCGTTCTCAGTGTCAAAAGAATGCAGATCAAGGACTTCAGAGAGATCCACCCTGCAACACATAAAGCAGTGACAGATCAGTCCGCTTTAGCAGAATTTGGAGGGGCAAAAATAGTCCTCCCGACTCTTTCAACTCCGCTGCACCAGTGCTAAGTTCAAACCCATTTGGAGCAGGTTGTGGGAATGTTTTTCCGATTAACCCCTCGCTGCACGCCGTCTTTCATGTCCGTGCTGGACTGAACCTTGGATCCTGCTGCGTCCCAACAGATAATACGGGCTCTTAGGGCATATCCAGACCATTTTAAATCAGTAGTAATTCTGAGAAGGCCAACTTGAAATACTTTAAAAATCAGTTTAATTTCGAAAAATACTCCTCCAATGTTGGAACGCTTCTCTATAATTCTTCTTGAATTATAGTGAAGCGTTTGAAAGAAGCATTTGAAAGACTCAAGCTTATCACAGATGATCATTATGACTATTACATTTTTTAAAATTTATTTTATCTAACCTTTGTTTACCCTGGAAAGTCCCATTGAGATTAATGACCTCTTTTTAAATGGAGTCAAGGACAATATATACATGACATAAATGGCATTTCAATGTCTCTGAATGTAAATTCCAAAGAAGATTGTATTTTTTTTTAGTTTTTTATAAATATTTTATACTATCTTATAACTTTTGTAGCCGTGAAAATTTGTCTTCATTCCTCTTGGTTTCCGGCTCATAGGCAGTAAAGAAATGGAAAAATGTGTTTATGTATATACATTTCTTGCACCTGTATATGTTGTATGAATCTAAGAACTCATATTGCAAATATTGTATATTTTAAGTTTTAAACTTCAGCAATAAGCTTGAAATACACAATACATAAATATGAACTCCATATTGTACATTCTGTGTCTTTGTACTATACAATAATTGCAGCTTATCGTGAGAAAAGGATGAAAATTAAACATAAATCAATCATTCACAATTCATAATTTCTCCACTAGTTCAAAGTCCAGTTCCCCCTTTCCACCGTTTTCCACAAAGTTTACAGTGGACTTGAAATCCGAACTCCTCCGGATCCGGGTCTGGAACTGTCTAATTTCACATCTTAAGAACACGCTAATTTTTCCTTTTTTAAAATATTGGGAGACACCAATATACTGTGGCACCTTGTTAGCCAGATGCTACAATCCAAACACTAATACAATCTAGTCTCAGGGTCAGACAGCAAAGACTTGTGGGTAACCGGACACTGTTGAACATTTAGTGTTTGTTCAGAGGGGGTGGTGGTGTCACGACTAAACAACTTTGATACAGAGATCTGAGGGAACCACAAACAGATGCTGCGTCTTATCCCGCTCAATGTAACGAGAAGGTTACAAAGTGCTACCTTGATCGCTGCGTTTCCAAAATCTTCACCAGGCCATTGATGGACCTGAGAGCATAAGAAAACAACATTAGAACAAGATTCCGATATACTGTGTCATCATTTGTGTTAATTTTGTCATTTGCGATCTCACAATTGCATACTGGACATTTTCAAAGCAATTTAAAAATGTATTCCAATTGGATGTAGATAATATCAAAAATAAAAAAACTATCAAATAAGAAAAAAACATAACGAGATTAGGATATAAAATTATGATATTAAAGCTGGGGCACCTGAAACTATGTCCTAAAATCAATGTACCTACACTGCAAAAAGTGATGGTACATAAGTAAAAAAATGATAACATTTGATCTTAATTTGAGTACATTTGAATACACATTTAAACATTTCACTCTAGATATTCCCCAATAATATTTGAAATAAAGTGTGTTTTTCACTGTTTCACTGTGTAGAAAAATGACTTTTACCTGACGACATCTTTGAGTTGAGTTAGTTCTTCCTCCTTCACGAGGTCCGTCTTATTGATTATAGTCATATCTGCCAGCGCTATTTGCCTGGGGGAAAAAAACACATATTTGTTACGACACTATACATTTTAAGAACATTGTGCAACTAAAGGTGTTAATTTTAAAAGTATTTTTTGCAGTAACAACCACATCATTTAATTTATCCTAAACAATGAGCCCAAAACATAACAATTAGAAACAGTTTACAAATTATCTAAACAATGTCTGTAAATCAGTCAACAAAACCCAGCCATGTTTAGCATTGGTCCAGTCATTTTTTTTTAAAGAAAGAAAAATACACAAAATTATGTTTAAAACCAAGCATATACTAAAAGCAATGTAGTACTCTATAGAGCCTCCATATACAAGCAAAGATCTGTAAAGATGTGTACAGGAAAGAAATCATTCAATTTAATTCACAACAGAGAGGAACTATATGGGCTTGTTCACACTAAAGGGCACAAAAGTGTGACAAAAGGCCAAAAATTAGATTTTAATAATCAGAAGATATTTTATGTTTTTCATGTTTCCAAGCACCTCCTCTGTCCATTAGAAGTTTCTAGAACATAACTGTTTTATACATTAGACAAGTTTCCTATAGCGGCCCTGTTTATTTTATCTAACGGATGTGATGATTTGACGGAATGAGCTTTGTGCAAGTTTGATAGGTATTTTCAGATGTCCACATTTGATTCAGAGATTCTACTTTTTTACACAAAGTAGATGCAAAGTGATACTTTCATATTGTCAAGCAAATAAATGTGAAAACAGACCAGATTTTTTTTTCTCTCAAGTTTAATTTTTAGAGAAAAGAGGACCGTCCTCATCACGTCCGTTATACATTTTTCAGGGGTCATTTAATTAATTAATTATTTTTTATTTTTTAACGATTCCTTTTTATATCAAGTGATTTCCTCCTGTTGTGGTAACCATGTAAATCTTGTGGGATTTCATCTTCTGCTTTTTCAGACTGAGGACATTTTATTTTCTATGTAACTGGCGTCACAGTAGAATGGTCCAATCAGAGGCTCATTTGGTCGTTTAAAATGTCGCTAAACATTTTAATGTCAATCTTTCCTTTTGATTTTTTCCACACTATCTCTTCAATCTGTCTGTGTTTGAAATCTTTTTTCCAATCTATGAAAGTAATTTTAGTTTTTAAGTTATAACCTTTTAAAGTCCAGATACTTCAATTGTCACTTTACTGTGAACACACTCATATAATAAACTCTATATGCTTAATTCTAACTAGTGCATCAGCATGAGGATTAGCCCCTACCGCCTTTTTAATTGGGCCTTTAAGGGATATAGGAGGATTTTCTACTTCCGGGTGGATCATCAAGACTATTGGTCCTCCCACGAGCACGTTTTTTTCTAAAAGTGGAGAGGACAGACCGATATACGCATTGACCAATCTCTAAAAAGAACGACATGCCATAGTTTGTGTCCAGTGACGAGGTACGGTAAACAAACAAAACAACATTTGTGTACCCGTGCTGAATGAATAACACAAAGCCGTTTGCCTGACGCTCATGTGGGTGGCGGTGATTGAAAAAGCAGCCACACACACCACGACAGCCCAGTGTTTGGTTTGGAGGTGAAAACACAAACATGGAGGAAGAAGAATGTAAAAGTGTGTTTGTTCTGCTGCACCCACACTGCACAGCTGCGAGTGGACACACAGGGGGACACAGAGGAGACACTACAGACAAACTAGGACATACCTAGCAGCTTCATTGACCAGTCCTTCAGCCTTCTGTTCTGTTAATTGCTGTTGAGAAAAAATAAATAAATTATTTTTTTGAGATCCTAGTGAAGGTATTTCCAACATTTATGGAACCTCCAATGGCCAGCCCTTGTACAGGTAGCTAAATTAAATCTGGGTTACCTAACTTTCATACATAATATGTATGAAAGTACAACTGTGTGAACATGTCAGACCACAAAATGCCATCTGTTTCTTTTTTAAAAGCATGTTAAGATAAGATACACTTCATTGATCTCACAATGGAGAAATTGAGCAAACTTTTAATTAAGAACCACGCGAGTCACTATTGGCTGAGTGAGAGTGGAAAGATAAATAGTTAGTTTCAAAGTTATGTACCGAGAGTTTTGATAATAATAATAATAATAATCATAATTTTAATAATTTGGTGTTATGTGGTGTTATGTCAAACATGGGGACGTGGCTTTTTTATTTTCAAGTTTACCATTATTTCTTCAGCCATATAGCAGCAACAACATTAGAAGGAAAGAACAATCTCTTATACATACATGTAAGTGACTTGTTAGTCCCATATGAACCAGCCTGGACTCTGAGGAGCACAGGGATGGGACTCCTGCTGGTGCCCACAGTCAGGACTAAACATGGGGAGGCTGCATTTCAGATTCATGCTGCTAAAATCTGGAACAATCTTCCCAGAAATGCCAGACAGGCCTCCTCTCTGACAATGTTTAAATTCAGGTTAAAACAGTTCTGTTTAGCTGCATACAACTGAGGGATTTTATATTTGTATGTGTCTTTTTAATGTACTGTGATTATTAATGATATTAATGCTATCTTGTTTTGTTCAGCACTTTGTATAGCACAATTCATACACAAGGCATCTCAAAGAAACTTGCCTGGCCTGCTGTACATACATTGACCATTTTTTTACTTAAACAATATATTATATAAGCAGTACTTTGTCCCAAATCGCTGTTGTGTATCGCCGACTTCTTACAATGGTGTATTTGAACTGACCAACACATAAGTCAGGGTGTGATTCCTTAATACCACATGTTTTGGGATGTGTTAAACCTGCATTGGTGATCTAAAGCTTTCTTTGCGTTCTTAACCAGATGCTCTAAAGCTGTGCACCCTGCTGCCACTTTCATGTGTATAAATAAGGGGATTGTCACTCATTGCCTGATTTTAAACCACTTTTAAGATGCTAAAGCTCAGACCTCGTTCTACAGCCCAAGTCCTGGGTCTAGATCCAAGGAAGCAAATCCCTCTCTCAAAGTGGGTTTTTCACTTTTTCCCCACGTTTTTATTTTTTAGTCAAGACAGTGATGATCTGGGACATTTAAGAACATTCATGTCCATCCTGCTCTCTTTGGACCAATGGCTCCATGTGTTTGGTATTATTGTATTTCCTGCACTCAAACTGTATGATTCTCTGATAGGTTGTTGAGGAATAGACAACTTTGTAAAGCCCTTCGAGATAACTGTTGTTTGTGATTTAGGGCTATACAAAAAAACATCAAATCAAATTGAAAACTTACTTGGCGTTCAATACAAAAGTCTTAGATTTTTTACGTATTTATTTATAGGCATTTACCATCAGGAACCTCGCTGCTTCTGAGGTTGATCCACGGTTCTTCTGTGAACTTTCTCTCTTGTATTTCTATTGCTCTTTTATATGGACCATAAAGTAGCAAAATGTAATTTTATCATGTCATGTCATCATAAAATGGCCCTAATATGAGTAAGTAAGTCATCTTTATTTATACACCGCCTTTCACAGACCAGAGTCACAAAGCGGTTTACAATTGTGGGCATTTGTCCTCTCACTCCACACAGAGATGGGAGCAGGGTCGCCAGACTTATTGTACATGTTTTTAGTGGTAGGGGAAACCAGAGCACCCGGAGGAAACCTACGCAGACACGGGGAGAACATGCAAACTCCACTCAGAAAGGCCCTGTTCCGACTGGGATTCGAACCCAGGACCTTCTTGCTGAGAAGCGAGAGTGCTATTAACAAAACATGCTCCTTCTGAATACTTCTTAACTGATGACAGTAGTTCAGAGATATTTGAATTTCAAAATTTTTATAGCCCCTTAATCTTATTATTGCTTTAATTTCGATGTAACGCCCTCCATTGTTTTACCAATCAGAAAGTCCGTGATCCGGGTTGCCAGAACTCATCGCGTCGAGCTAATCCCACTGGTAAAGTAACATGTGGCCCAGGGACGTGCAGTCAGGGGAGGCAGGGGAGGCAGAGCCTCACCTGCCATTATTGGAAACTAATAATTATTTTAGTTTAAATATATAATTTATATCCACTGTCCTATGCTTTTAATGTATATTCGGCACGGTTCCCATCAGTTTTGATCATTTCTGAAGTCAAAATCGCCGAAATCCCGTTATTCCTATTCAAAGAGACGAGGTGAGGCAGCGCTCCTGCGTGCCTCACCCCAGACCGCTCCCTCACAGTGTGTGTGTGTGTGTCTGAGTGCACTCAGCTCGTGCAGTTGATATATCACCGTTTGTTTCAAATATCCTGCTTTAAAAACATTTTTTAAACTCCTCTTAGTGTTTAGTAGTGTATTGCACGTATGTGTGTACAATTTATATTTAGTTTAAGTCTTTTGATCGTAGATGAACACACAAGGAAAAAGCTTGGCGTGAGGCAGGCGGTATCTGTGCCTCACCGCTAGGGGTGATAGTGAGCATAAAGTTCATACCAGAGTTGCTAACAAACAATCAGCCCAAAATGCTATTTCTTTTGCTGGAAAATGGATGATTTGAATGAAGATTTTTTTTCTCAATTGGACTTTCAAACAAAGAAAGAATTAATATAGACTGGGAGACCACCACTGGACTTACGAGGTTAGTCCGGCTGCGGGGGAGGAGTTTGTTAATCTGTGTTTTATGTTGAACATTGACAGATACCGGCAAAGTAGTGCTTTTCCGAAAAACACTGATTCAAACACTGCTCAAGAGTTCTGCAACTTGTTTAAATTATTGTTTATGTTCCTCGCGTCTCTCTGCTCCTCGCGTCTCTCTCTCCTCGCGTCTCCGTCTCTCTCTGCTCCTCGCGTCTCCGTCTCTCTGCTCCTCTCTGTCTCTCTCTGCTCCTCTCTCCTCGCGTCTCTCTCTCCTCGCGTCTCTCGCACCTGCGCTTCTTAAAGATGTTGTTTGATGCGGAGCAGAGTCAGCAGCTAGATTTGTTGTGAGATTATTAAAAGAAGCTGGTTCTCTTATCTTTACAGTATATAAAGTTTGTGGATGTCATTGCATTGGTGATTAAATGCTATTTTATTTGAATAATGATTGTAAATCTGACTTTTAAAGTCAGTGCCTCCCCAATCACAAACCTCACCGCACGTCCCTGATGTGGCCACAGTACTAAAAAAGGTCTTGTTTGATTCTGAAATCATGAATGACAAAACAAGGAATAAAACAAGGATTTCTATCGAGGATGTCTTTGTGAAAATGGTGTAGGTTATAGATTTGTTGTTGACAAAACTTTTGTATATTCGGATATTATTGTCCCAGCTGGATTGGTTTGCATATCTGGCAACCTGAGTCAGGGAGAGTGGGAGGGGTTACGGTGCCACTTTTGGCCAGATTCGTACATACTGCTCCTTTAACGTCTTCGATATCTGCTCCGTCACCCTAAGTGCAATACTCGCGATGTTTCAGTGGGTTTGTAAGCTATATCAGTACAGATGCCTGTGAGCTCTTCCTGGCAAAACCTTCCGTATAACTAGAATGGAACAACATTGAAACATTTAATTTAATTCTATATTGTTTCACGGGGCCGTAATCCTTTCACTCAGAGACGAGGCACAGGTTTGAAGGACGGTTGAAATGATAGTGGATATGACAGATCTATTACAACAGCCCACATTTCACATATTATAATTGTCCTCTTTCACAATGTGACACAGGGGCTCTGAAACGCAACTACACCTCCACAACCACAGGCCATTATCAAGGTGTCACTTGTCATGTTCCTTTCAAATAGGGCCGTCAGCGTTTCAGACAGCTGCACATAAAACAGTTGTTCTTGAACTCTTGTCAAATGTTGTGGCAATGATTAGAGCAGAAAATGTGGTCGCGATAGTTTGCGCCATCGTTAAATTGGTATACAATACACACATATTATTTAGGATTTAGGCAGTGACCAAACCAGCTGGATTTCACCAAAAGAGACTGGCAACCCAAACGAGACTCCAGTTCTGCTTTATAACTAGAGAATACGTTTGAGAACCAAAATATAATTTTAATAAAGGGGAGGGCCTACAGTATGGAACTGTGCACTGGACAAACTTGAGTTAGGATTCTATTATGCAGATTGTACTTTTATTTAATTTGTCGTTTGGTTGTCCTGGATCTACGTCTGCGAGAGCAAATCCAGGACTACAAAAGAACAATCCCTACATCATAGCTGTACGCTGCAAAAAGTGAAGAAAAATAGGTTTAAAATTGCTCAAATTTTCAAAAGGTTTCATAATTTGAGTACATTTTGACTGCCTTAAAACAAGCAAGATTATCTTGTTTTGTCTCCCTTGGAATGAGAAAATAAAGAATCATTTATTGAAATAAGACTAAATGGCTTTGTCCCATTGACAGTCAGAATGTACTCAAATTATGATAAAAACCACTCAAGCACTTATTACCTCATTTTGTATCATTTTTTGCAGTGTACCGAGCTCAAAACAGGATCAAGCAAAGAGGTCCCTGATCAGTATGAGCTATAGCTTCAGTTGTACTTTGGTTACTTTTTTGCCCCACTGTATATAGATATTTCCTCTTCCCACCTTCATTCGTCTGTTTGTCTGTGAGCAACATAACCCAAAAAGTTATGTGAGTATTTGGAATTTCAGGAAACACGCACAAAGGCCCAGAGAATGACTGATGGACTTTTGGATCTGTATCACTTCTGAGTATTTTCTATACATTATCATCGATTGATTACAACAATGACACTGACCTGTAGTCCATACTTGGCATCAATAACCGTCACGATACCTAAAGAAATCCAAAAGGTGAGTGCGGAAGTGAGGCAGACATCTTGAACACATGTTTTTCAGTTTGGATTTGTCTGGACCACTTTCTGAGGGTTATTTTAGGAATATGTGCTTATGGTGCACCAGCCCGTAACAACAAAGAGGACAGCTGAGTATTTACTGTGCATAAAACAAGATATCAAGTCTAGAAATGAAACCAGCTTTTGGACAGGACAAGAACCTGTAAATCTATTCACTGCTATATATATATATATATATATATATATATATATATATATAAATAAAGCAAATCTCGTTAGACCAGATTATAGAAGCAATCAAAGAAACAGCATTGTGGGGTTTTGGACTATGTAACTTGCTTCTATAAAATTGTCACAGCTTAGATTTACATTATGTCCAATGCCTTACTTCCACTGTTGTATATAACAACATAATTTCTTTAAAAACTTCATACACTTTTTGAGAGTTGGGTACACAAGTCGTCTTCCTCCAATGTAAAAGCTTGGTTTGTGTGAAGCATTTTGAAAGTGGTTTTCCCTACCTGCCTTTGTATACCTTTTGGAATTGACGTATCTAATCTATTTAATGTAGTGTTTTAGAGGGACACAGACAAATACATTTGAAAGTTTAGAGATTATTCTTGTCTTACCGTCTAAATAAATGTCACTGCCGAGCTCTGCGTCCACCCAGAACATGGAGGCCACAGCTCCTGTAAGAGGTGAGAGGTGGGACTTCAGGGCAAATCTTTATACAGCAGTTGTTATTGCACCTTGTGGTCAAATATGTCCTAAAAAACATCAAAACGTGTTCCTGTTTGAAGGAAAAAAAAAGGCAAAACAGACTTTAAAGTTAAAATCCTTTATCATTACGGGACACCAATGCATTTCGACCACTTGTTCATGTTAATTTGAGTTTCGGAAATTAACCAGTAGTTAATATTACAAAGATAATACAGGCTGAGACGCAAAACCTTTTAGTTATAAAAAATATATATATTTATCCAAAATGTTATGTATTCCCCCTTCACTGGTCATACTAGTCATAATTTTCTGGAGTTTCATAAAAACATTGAATTCATAATTTGTAACGTTCATTCGGGACAACATAGTACGTAGCTATAATCTGGAACAGTATTCCTGAAAATACGATACAGGCTTCTACTCAGACCATGTTCCAATTCAGGTTAAAACAGTTCTGTTTAGCTGTGAATACAACTAAGGGGTTGTGTCTTCACTCTTTTGAATGTACTGTGATTATTCATGACTTATGTAATTGTTTCGTCTAGTTTTTGTAAGAAATGTTGCCTTGTGTTACAATGCTATACAAATACACTTGCTTTGATTGATAATAGCCCAACTTTCACTCAAGTCCCAATTGTCTAATGCCATCATAATTCAATTGTTTCTTCTTTTTGTCTGACTGTGGAGAAAGTAAAGCACATATGTGAACTTTTGAATTGTTGTGGTCTGTTTCCATTACTTGGTGGACATGGTCATCATAGGAGGCCACAGCGTGTTCACAAAAACCTTCTTTGTCAAACTGCACCGACAGGAGGGGAATTCTTTGTAAATATTTGATTGCCACGTAATGGAAATCTTCTTTTTGATTGGCACGTTTCACAAAACTCATCCAACCCATTCCTGAGACGATTCCCCATGGAGAACTCATGGTTGACAGCTCTGCCGAGACCTTTGAGGACAAACGTCAAGACTAATAATCCAGATCTGTAATCCTCAATAAAAATGCATCCCATCTTTAGGATGGCATGTGTCTGGTCGCTGGTTTGATGTCCATGACAGCTACACAAGACATAGATCAATCAAGGCCACATAAAACCCAGATCTTAGTATTTGCCATTAGAATTAGTATAAGTATTGGCCATTGTTTGACTACAAGCTACACACAATATTTTCTATCAAGGTGCCTCTCTCTCATTTACATACAAACACACACGAGGTACACTAGGGGTTAGGTGAGAACAACAAGGTTAATCTACAGGTTTTAGAATCAGTGTCCAACAGTGGATCTGGTCTTCCAATTTGCTACTTGTGCAATACCATGATGCTTTTTGCAGGATGGAGGGGGTCATATGCCACACAATCTAAAAAAACCCAAAAACAAAGAGCCTGTCATTTAAGAGCTTAAAGATGCAGTCAGTGATTTTTTCCAGACACATTGTTTTAAATATTGTGAGATAACTTAAATACTTTTAGGGTTTAGGGTTATCATGTTTTTTTCAAATAGTAATGGATTTGACCAGATGCCTATAGTCTCCAAAAATTTAAAAAATTATATTTTGGAGCGGATCGACATACCCCCCTTCACCCTCTTCCTGTTTCTCGTGAGTGCGCGCACCTGAGTAATGGGATTTTCTTAAACCTAAAAGGGCTTAACAGGAAATGCCAAATCCACGTTTGCCACCCACTCTCCCTGTTGTGACAAAGAAAATAAAATGCTGGATGTTTGGTTTGGTGGAGAGGCGAGGGGAGTGGGGGAGTGGAGTTGGTGCTACGGCCGAGCTAACAAAATCGCTTACCGTCTTCATTTCAAGAAAACCAAAGCTTAAACAGGTCTGTACATTTGTTGATTTTGAAATGTCAATTGGGATAGAATCTTGGGTGTTCGTTGCATCTTGTCAAATTTAAATGTTGCAATTCTGCACATGGCCAGTAGATGGCAGACGTTGTTTTTGTGTTTTGAAAACACATGAGGGCCATGTTTCAAGTGTTACTGTGGTCCTTTCAATCTCCTTCTCATTGGGACTCATTAGACAACAACTATCACTCCTACTGCAAGTTCATCATGGTTTGTGACTCTACTGCAGCTACTTGTATTGTTTATCTTGTGGGCTCCCTGAGTGCTCTTACTACTGTCCTGTATGTGTGCTGCAACATTGAAATATCCCTACTGTGGGTCGAATAATCTCTTATCTTGTCTTACCTTAGCTTACTGCATACAGCTTCTCTGGGATCGACCCCCACACTGAGTCAAAAAGCATTATGGGATTTGCGCAAGTAGCGAATTATGTTAAAGTCTGGAGCTTTGAACTGCTAACCTTCAAATCAGAGGACACACGTTACACCAACTGGGCTATGGTCCGAGGCAGTAGAATGCTGTGGCGTGATCTGAAGCCCAGTCATAAACGTGCACAACCTTGTCCTCCCGATTGTAAAGTGTGTTTACGTACATTCAAATAAACTGTTTGTGCTTGCGGCCCTGTTAAGTACAGATAAATACTGTGCATCTGTGAGCTGTGTGTGGCCCAGAGGTGTCTTACGCCTCGTTTACTCTCAATACAGGCCTGGAATTTATTTTTAGCAAATTACTTTGGAGCTGCTGGTCACAATGGCATGAGTCCATTGTAGTGTGAATTTGAGTTTTTAGTTTCATAACCTGAGACCAGCTCTATTCTACATACCTGTGGCTTACCCAGTTCAACTTAACAGCAGAGAATTATTTTTGGTCACTTTACTTTTTTTTCAGTACCTGTGCAACTAAACATCAGGACCTGTGAGCTGCTACCACCATGACAAATAAAGCTGTCCAAATTCATAATATAAAATAACAACAATAATATTTCTTTCTTTACCTTTATATATTATAACTTTTAGGACCACGTTCTCTAACTTCCTGATTAGATGTATTAATAGGTAATATACATTATTTCTTAATGTACTGAAAAAGTCTTTTTTCGTGACTTTTAATTAATTGCATGTTAATAGCTAATGCTTCAGAAATGTTTTGGAACGAACAGTAGTGATGACAGAATGATGTCTTTGGCTTGCAATTACAAAATATTACATTTTGTATTTTTATTTTGTTTACCACTTGCAGGAGGACCAGGAGGTAATTGTAATAGCTGGTGCTATGTGTACTGGGTGCATTTCTGATTGAAATAAATAAAAAATATGGAAAAATTAAATGACTGCTGTATACTAAGATATACATTATTAGTACATGGTAATAGTAGATACCATAGTGGATATATTGTCTTTTTTTTACCTAGAAACAATTGCAAATCCAAATGATGTATACATTATTCTGTTCTATCAATATTTAAGGACAGATGTAGAGACTAATTTTACCTGGATCAGCGAGTCCAGTGGTTTCTAAAAGAATGTAGTCAAACTTTCCTTTCTTCTCCATCAGGTTCTCGATGGCTTTGAGACCATTGTCTCTGTAAACAAGTGAGAAAAATAATCAACAAAATGAAAAACATCATAATATTACTTTGTTTCTGTTCGTTTTCTACTACTAGACCGTTTCAAGTATCTATTTCAACGTGCTTACTTGACAGAGCAGCACAGGCAGCCGTTCCTCAGTTCCAGCCACTCTTCATACAACTCCCCAGCTTGGCTCACTGCAAGAGATTTCTCCAGTGCGCTACCTACAGGCGAGAGGAAGAACAGACATTTTCAGCCAAAATATTCAGGAATTTAGGAGAAAACATTTTGAAGACATGTGACATAGATATAAAGCTAAATGCTAAAATGATTTAGGATACGATTTGTCTTTGTTCCAGTGCCCTCTATACATAGTATCACCTGTTTTAGAGGTAGGGGAAACTGGAGCACCCGGGGGAATACTACTTGGACAAGAGGAGAACAGGCAAAGTCCTAGCAGAGGCCCAGGAGTTTAACAGAGAACCTTTTTTCCATCACTCCCCCTCTACTGTTTATATGTATTGTATATGGCTAAGTAAATAAGGATGTAAATTGAATTGATATGTACGGTCTGCATTGTCAATGCAGTATTCTGATTGACAGTATTTATTCTTAAAATTTTGAACTTTTTCACTGAGTTTCGGTTTCGTAGCTGTGCATTAGCCTGAAAATACTAATGAGAATATCAACAGGTTGTCTTAGACTTTTAGTGTCCATAAAAGCGCTGTGTAAGATTTATGTATTTTATTATCAATACTATGTAAAATTCAAAAATTATAGCCAATACAGTAATGAGGAAATCTCTTCAAAGCGATTTAGAATTACAATATCATATCTTGAATTTCTTTATGCTGGGAAGATACAAGTACAGCTTTAACCTTCTCCAAATTCATTCAGGATCACAGCAATCCTCTTGTTGTGTTGTTCTGTCAGAATGTAGTTTAGAAGGGTAGTTTTTCCAGCACCTGAGCAAAGGAAAAATATTTTTGTAGTTGAAACATAACATAACATAAACTTGTAATGTTATGTTACCTACTATGAAAAAAGATTCATAATTGTAATCTATATATATCTCAAATACAAAACAGCAGATAACACACATATACATTGTTTTTGTATCATTATTTCATCACAAAGCTAGCAGTCATGTTAAACCCTTCAACAAATATATAATTATAATGTATACATGGCCTGAAATAGATTGTACACTACACAATTAGAATACAGTTCAAGGAATCTATCTCCATCCTATTTCTCCAGCACAACCTAGTATAACGCCAATTCAACGTGTCAGTAATAAAATTCAGCACTCTATAATAAGACATTTTCCGACCTAGATATCCAGTGATGATAGTGACAGGAATTTGCCCCACTGAAGCTGGAGGCTTGGGTTCAATGGGCACCAACTCGGGACATTCATCCTCGTCTTCCATAGCTGATACCAAACACAGTCTATGAAATACAAGGACACAAATAACAGATTATGCCAACGTTGTTAGATAGAAGGAACGTATAGTCATGCTCAAATAGCAATAGATGGAGCTGGAACTACGCTTATAACAGCTCTATACACATTGAACAGTGATAGCACATAGCATGACAATAATATATATAAAATGTCCTTACTATATCCACCACGACAGCTGCGGGGTGTTGTTGTTTCACCTCAGCACTATCACCTTCAATATTCAGTTGTAGAAAAACACTGGATAATAGGATTAAAAGATTCGTGCTTACTGAGCACCTGCTGTTAAACCTAAACTCCAAATGCAACCATGGGGCAGAGTGTGTAACTGCATAATAATTCCGTGCGGGTTAAAACAAACATAGTTAAGTTCCGCCCTTTTTTGAAACCTAGTAAAAATAAGTCATAGTTGTGACGAGGTAATAACAAATGTGTATAAAACAAAATAAATGATAACCGTCATTCACTTTACCAAACAAACAAAAAATATGTTATTATTTGTGATATACAGTATGTACCACAAGGGGGCAGCCTCACTCAACGAATCACTCTCGCAGCCCAGTCAAGAGTGTTGCATCTCTTTTTTGTGATTACTGACACGGTGGGTGAGAAGTTAAATGATTCCAAGGTTGGTATTTTAGTAATTATCTAATGATGATTTCAGATTACAAATCAATCAATGGACAATAATATATCATAAGAAATTAGATAAGATTAGAGGAACCTTTATTCATTCCACAAAGGGGAAATTTCAACGTCAAATCTCATAAACTAAGATTAAAGCCTTGGTGTTGTTGCCCGCGTGGGGCCAGGTGCCACAGTGGGGTGGCTGTAGCTATATAGCATCAAATTGTTTTCGTGTCCTTAGGCAAGACACATTATCAACATTGCCTATAGTCTAATGTGGGCATGAAGAACTGCTTGCATATGTCAGTCTGCCCCAGGGCACCTGTAGCAAGTGCAGTAGTTCACCTCGTTGTAAGGACTGTAAAAAGAATGTTAAGGACACCTCCCTGGGGAGATGTTCCAGGCATGTCCCACCTAGAGAAGACCCAGAGGAAGACCAAGGTTATGTCAATCCGTGTATCATTCGTTCTTTTGATTTTCTAAATAAAACCAACATTGAAAAAACAAATAACGAGGGATGTTTTTGATTCTCAATATTTGAATTTAATGCAAAATTGAAATATCGGTTTGTTTTTGGTTTTCTGTGGATCCAATTAAAACGAAAATGCAGTAAACCAATAATGATCGTCTAAATTACTTTTTGCGATTTCCATTTGAAACACAAGAATCCCCCGGAAGTGATTCGCAAGTGCGCCCCCCGCAGGTAAACAGTGGAGTAGCGGTGGAGATGAACTAAATGATGGGTGCGTTGGAAGACTTTGCAGATACAGCGATAGAATGCTTCTAAAACATTCAAACATGTGCAGAAATATCAACCACGTTACACCGACTAGGTTTGTCCAAATGTCAAGTCATCAGCTGAGTCATGTCCCTTCTTTTTGATACAGTGGTTAACCCTCTGGTGCATAACGGTCACTGCAGTGGACAGCTACTAAAATGTCATTTTCTCTTTAATGCATTGGTTTCTATGGTTCAACTGCATATCAGCCTCTAGAGTGCTCTCTGCTGCCATACTCTATTGAGGTCAATTCAGTGTTCAGTCGGTGTAACTGCAAGTAAATTTCCTCTGAATCCAAGATGGCCGACAAACAGCCACCCCTGCCGACCACTGCTGGCATATCTTGTCAATCCTTCTATTCTGGAAGAGCCCCACTGGTAAAAAAAATATGATGATTTACAGTAACATCTAGGGAAGGATATTATCTGTTTGGAATATGAAATTTGTATGTCCAATATTTAGAAAAGTACGATTAACCATATGTCCAATGAAGTGGACATCATGCATTACCAAGAATATTTTTTTTAAACAAGACATACATTGCCTCACTGTTTCTTGTGACTGTTTTGATTATAAATCAGTGTATAATTGTTATATTTACAATCTATTCATTTGAATATACATTTCTATGCAGATTAGATGTAGTTTGAGTTACTATATTAATTATTTTATCATATTTTGTAGAGTTCAAATGCAGCAAAGAACAAGGCAGCGTACAGAATAGTCCAGGAAATGCCATCCAACTCCAGTGATGATGAGTGTAGTGACATCAGTGATGAAGAGTGGCTGCCAGAGAAGAACAGAGACATGGAAGCTGAGGATGATGGAGATACAGACAGTCAGGATGCAGAAAGTGAGGATGATGAGGGTCAGGATGCAGAGGAAGGTCAGCATGATCAGGGAGCTGTGGAAGATGGGCACATGGCACCTGACCATACTCAAGCCCGCAAAAATATCTGGAAAGTCCAAGACAATGACTTTGATGGAGACCTGCCTCCTTTTCTAGGAGAGTGGAAATTGAATGTGGAGGGAAAAGATCCCATAGATTTCTTCAGGCATCTGTTTCCAGCAGATCTCATTGATGATATAGCATACAACACCAACTTGTATGCTCTCCAGAAAGGGAAAGAAAATCTGGCAGTGACAGGAGAAGAAATGCAGATTTTTTTAGGGATCAACCTGATCATGGGGTACATTCGGTATCCTAGGGCACGAATGTACTGGTCTAGTGGCGATGGCCTTCGTCTTGGAATAATTGCAAATGCCATGTCTGTAAACAGATATGAGCAAATCCTGAGATACCTACACTTTGTTGATAACTTGACTTACCAGCAAGCGAACATGGATAGGCTCTTCAAAATAAGACCATTCCTAAGTGCACTTCAGGAGACATTCAAGGCAGCAGCAGACCCAGAGGAATTTCAGTCAGTTGATGAACAGATCATTCCTTTCAAAGGTCTACTGTCCATCAAACAATACATACCAAAAAAACCCAAACCCTGGGGAGTGAAAGTGTGGGTGAGGGCAGGAACCTCAGGCTATACAAATAGATTCGAAGTGTACCAAGGTTCTGCAAGTAGTGGTTGCATCAGTGGATTGGGAATGGCTGGAGATGTGGTGATGCGTCTTTGTGATGACATAAAACACAAAAATCACAAGGTGTTTTTTGATAACTTCTTCTGCAGCATTCCACTCATAGAAGCCTTGAAAGACCATGGCATCTACGGCACTGGTACATGCAGGGCAAACCGGCTGAAGGGAGCAAATCAGAAACTGAAGAGTCAAAAACAAATGAAAGAAATGGGCAGAGGAGCTTGCTCTGTTGTCAGCAATAATGCAAACATCACTGTCACACGTTGGCTCGACAGTTCAGTCGTTCACATGGTCTCGTCCTGTGCTGGCCAGTCCCCTGAAGATGTTGCCAACCGATGGGTGAAGAAGGATAAAACAATGATGATGGTCCAAAAACCCTTCTCTGTGGCTCTTTACAATCAACACATGGGTGGGGTTGATCTTGTTGACCAATGTCTCGCAATGTACCCCCACAGACGTCGAAACAAGAGGTGGTACATCCGAGGGGTATTTCATTTTTTGGATGTGACCATTGTAAATGCCTGGCGCCTCTACCTGATGTCTGGTTTGGAAAAGATGAGACTCCTCCTCTTCAAAGCTTCTGTGGCTCGTGCACTGATAAATAGTGGCACCCTCCAGCAAAACAAAAGAGGAAGACCCATTGAGACCCCACAACCCATGAAGCGGAAAGCAGTCACCAGAGTAGCACGTGAGGTGAGGTTTGGTGCAGGATATCACTGGCCTCAACTCACCAAGGTCAAAAATGCAAACAGATGCCATGATGCTGCATGCACACGGAAGACCAAATACATCTGCATGCACTGCTGTGTGCCACTGTACCCTGGATGCTTTGCAAACTTTCATACAGCCTAGGTGTGATGAACATACTGTAGAACTGTTTGGAGAAGCAGAGATTAAAATGTCAGTTCGTGTTTTCTTCCATGACAATATAAGGGCTTGATAATACTGTCCTGCATCCTTATAGAACTGTGGAGACTCAATAATGTTTCTCCTGTTGGAGATGGTTTGACATATTCAGGTCTAAGATTCATGGCTATGAGTGTCACTGGTTTTCTTATTCAGGCCTAAACACTACGCTTATACAGTGTTGAAATTTCCCAAAAAATGCTGAAATGTTTTACAAAGCATAAAAAGAAACAAGTGTTTGCATATTTACAATAGAACACAAGTTAATTAATGTTTACAGTAAGTTCACAAAATTTCATGTTGAGTGCTGAGGCGCATGTAGTCCACTGGATTGGACATGTCTGTAACTTTATGAAAAAAATGTATTTTTGGAAAAACAAAGTTGGACTCTTTTTTTTATGTCCTGAGAAGAATAAAATCACTTCAGAAAAAAATCTTGACCAAGGCTTTCATAATTCATGCATCAGAGGGTTAATCACGAAAGCAAACTTTTTGAAGTGGCGTTATTTCATCGTATAGGGCTCACAGAAAGGTATTCTGAGTAAATGTATTCATTAAACATGGATCATGTTCCTGCCCAATATATACATACATATACATATTTTTTACATATCAGCCGCCTTAAAACTATTGCTGCTCCATCTCTTTTTCGTGGAATAATTTTATTGCAACATTCAAGAGGGATTCTGTCTCCCGAGGCTCAGGAATCACAACTTGTTGTGTTTTGGCAAATTATGAAGGCCAAAGACTAAATTCATCATGTATGTAAATCTTCTGTGTGTCTGTTCCAGTGTAAATATTTTTGATTAGTTTGTTCCCAAATTAAAACACACTTGGACACAATTCTGTACATTTTTTTTCTAAATTGTGTTGAATAGCAATGGAAAACCCGTTAAAACAAATACTAACTGTTAGTGGATTATGTATCAATAGATTTATGAATTAGGAAATGACATTCTTAACTAAACAAGACTGTAAAATGACAAGTTGTGTATTTGAATGTACCTTTACAGAACAACTTACACCTCAGACTTCCTTTCAGCAGCAACATGGGTCCAATTTTATTTAGACTTTACTAAGGACCTACATGCAAGCACAGAATCCAGAGCTAAGAATGAAAGAATAAAAAAAAAAAAAGCTGTTAAAAAGACACATAATCACATATTTACAGCAAGTCACACATACAAAGAAGCCAGTGACTCCAAAGTTTAGAAGTGACCCTGACTGAGCTAATGTAAGGGCAAACCAGGGACTGTACTATACTATTAGGTACCATCGTGACTCTACACATGAACCCTGCACTCAGCAAACATCTGACTGGACGACTGTGTCTGGGATCTTCAGCAGCATCCTCACTGAGTCATAGGAAACTGTTCACCTCTGCAGACTGACTGCTTGTAGCTCCGCCACAGTTGGTCTGTGAATAAAGGAGCCCAAAAAGACTGGAACAAGGAGGTTTTTACATTCACAGAGCACGTTAGACTTCATAACCAGCATGTTAGATTGACCACATAGTTTACATCTCCATCTGTGAGGTCACTGTGTGTGTAATGCCCATTAAGACCAGGACAACTGGATTTAAGAACAGTTTTTACACTTTCAAATGTGACAGAACATAATGTACACTGATGAGTACGTGCTTTTTCATGCAATGATTCTAATTTTGTAACATAAATTTACAATGATAAACACGAGTTGAAAGTTTAAAATGTAAAGGAACAAAAAGGAGATTTGTAGATCAGTTATTAATTTTATTGCATTGACATAAACACATCCATCTTTGCAGATCACTGGTACCGGCCAGGACCAGCTGGAGAGCTTTGCAGATCACTGGTACAGGCCAGGACCAGCGTGAGAGCTTTGCAGATCACTGGTACAGACCAGGACCAGCTGGAGAGCTTTGCAGATCACTGGTACAGGCCAGGACCAGCTGGAGAGCTTTGCAGATCACTGGTACAGGCCAGGACCAGCGTGAGAGCTTTGCAGATCACTGGTACAGACCAGGACCAGCTGGAGAGCTTTGCAGATCACTGGTACAGGCCAGGACCAGCTGGAGAGCTTTGCAGATCACTGGTACAGACCAGGACCAGCTGGAGAGCTTTGCAGATCACTGGTACAGGCCAGGACCAGCTGGAGAGCTTTGCAGATCACTGGTACAGACCAGGACCAGCGTGAGAGCTTTGCAGATCACTGGTACAGACCAGGACCAGCTGGAGAGCTTTGCAGATCACTGGTACAGGCCAGGACCAGCTGGAGAGCTTTGCAGATCACTGGTACAGGCCAGGACCAGCTGGAGAGCTTTGCAGATCACTGGTACAGGCCAAGGCTGGGAGTAGTGTGAAGTCTGAACCTTTACCTGCTGCACACCCAGTGAGATCTAAAACAGAAAAGTGGGTTTAGAACAGACATATAATTATTACTTGTTATAACTTAACTATCTTATAAAGTCAGAAGAGAAATAGTAACCACCAAACAGAAAGATGCTATGCTAGTCTTCTATCAGGACAGGAACTCAAACTGAACATGAGCCCAGCGGCTTTGACTGTTTCAAACCTGCAGTCTTTCTGACTGTTTCAAAGCTGCAGTCTTTCTGACTGTTTCAAACCTGCAGTCTTTCTGACTGTTTCAAACCTGCAGTCTTTCTGACTGTTTCAAACCTGCAGTCTTTCTGACTGTTTCAAACCTGCAGTCTTTCTGACTGTTTCAAACCTGCAGTCTTTCTGACTGTTTCAAACCTGCAGTCTTTCTGACTGTTTCAAACCTGCAGTCTTTCTGACTGTTTCAAACCAGCAGTCTTTCTGACTGTTTCAAACCTGCAGTCTTTCTGACTGTTTCAAACCTGCAGTCTTTCTGACTGTTTCAAACCTGCAGTCTTTCTGACTGTTTCAAACCTGCAGTCTTTCTGACTGTTTCAAACCTGCAGTCTTTCTGACTGTTTCAAACCTGCAGTCTTTCTGACTGTTTCAAACCTGCAGTCTTTCTGACTGTTTCAAACCTGCAGTCTTTCTGACTGTTTCAAACCTGCAGTCTTTCTGACTGTTTCAAACCTGCAGTCTTTCTGACTGTTTCAAACCTGCAGTCTTTCTGACTGTTTCAAACCTGCAGTCTTTCTGACTGTTTCAAACCTGCAGTCTTTCTGACTGTTTCAAACCTGCAGTCTTTCTCACTGTTTCAAACCTGCTGTCTTTCTCACTGTTTCAAACCTGCAGTCTTTCTCACTGTTTCAAACCTGCAGTCTTTCTCACTGTTTCAAACCTGCAGTCTTTCTCACTGTTTCAAAACTGCAGTCTTTCTGACTGTTTCAAAACTGCAGTCTGAGGGCTCCTCGTTTCTCTTCATAAGCCTGAAGCATCTAGCTCTAACTACTGTCCCTCGACAATAATTGAGAATGAAGCAGAAACAAAGCACAATTGAATGGTTAAGGTACATCTAGCATCATCTTTTATTTACTAAAATTTAGCATGATTACTTTCACCAATACACAAACATATCATGTTCTTATATAATATGAAAGTCTATAACATACACTTATAATAATAAAGCACTCGCATTAGGTGCATTTGTTACATGTGTAAGTGTTTCATGTATGTGCTTAAGCTAAATGTGTCGTAGCTAATGCTAACTTAGCTGTTAGCGCTAGTTGCTAAGTTATGTCTTACCTTGACACTTGTGTATATATTTTTAATCGAAGAAAACACTTCTCTCGTGAATCTGAGAATTCTCATCTGCGATGGTCTCTGCAGCAGCGAACGAAAAAGCTGGTAATCTGACTGATGTTGAGGAGAGTTTTAAGAGACATTTCTCCTACAACCAGCGCTAACAAGGTGCGATCCAAGCACCTGGAGGCGACACTTCCTGGTCTCGTGACAAACTCGCACTTTCGAATCACTTCCGGGGGACGTTTGTGTTTCAAAGGAAAATCGCAAAATGTAATTTAGACTATCATTATTGGTTTACTGCATTTTCGTTTTAATTGGATCCACAGAAAACAAAAAACAAACCAATATTTCAACTTTGCATTAAATTCAAATATTGAGAATCAAAAACATCCCTTGTTATTCGTTTTTTCAATGTTGGTTTTATTTAGAAAATCAAAAGAACGAATGATACACGGATTAAGTCTCTCAGGTGGTGTAGGAAGTGGGAACGCCTCATGCTTCCCCTTAATATATACAGTCTATGGCTTCCCCTGGATGAGCTGGAGAAAGTGTGTATGGAAAGGGAAGTCTGACCATCTCTGCTTGGACTGCTGCTGCCGCGGCAAGGCAACAGATGAAGTGGAAACAAATGGACGGATGGATGGACAATACATTCATTGAGCAAAATAGATAAATAATAATTAATAGACACGTAAAAAAAAAATAAAAAAAAAAAACAAGGTTACCCAAAGCGCTTTACAATGTTTCAGAATCAGATTATTTTTATTTGCCATTTGCAGTAAAACCACATTGGAATACAAGTGCAAAAGTACCCCAGACAAGTGGGTACCCTCCTCCTTGAGGCTTATGTGTTACCTTGTGACCTATGTTTCGCGGGGTTTCTCTATAAATAAACGGGGACCGAACTTTGAGGGTAATCTCCAACTACAATTTGCCTCTTTCTGCCTCTGTTGTCCCTCTACCGTTTGGTACGCTACATTGGTGGCAGCGGTGCCGCCGTCGCCACCTGGGTTGATGTACGGTGGTGGCGGCGGTGCGAGACGAACGTTTGTGCCTTGCTTTTTGTACTTTTTTGGTGGGTGAGTCTGACCTGACGGTGCCAGCCACCATTATGCTCTCGCCATATTTTTTTGTTGGTGTGGGACTGAAGTGATGGTGTGGCCTGTGCTGTTCTGAGGCTCTTCTCAGCTGGGGTGATTCTCCAGGACTGGTGTGACGGAGGGCTGCTGCTGGGGGAGAAGTTCCAGTACCGGACTGAGCACGTGGCTCGGGGCCGCTGATGTCCAGGATCGGACCGTGACATGTGCGCATTGGTGCCTGAATCCAGCGCCGTCCCTGGTGAGCCACCGGATTGTGGTTGTGCCTGTTGGGGTGCCTGCTGACGTGTGTGTTCGGAGTCCGTAATTCTGATGTTCCCAGCGCGTCCCTCTGATCCCGTGTTCTGGATGTTCTGTTGATTTCCTGTGCTCCGGTCGGGGGGGTTCGTGCTCCGGTTCTTCGCCAGTCGTCTACTTGCTACGAGGAGTCCAGGCTGCAGCAGGATCCCCTGCGCATGGCGCCGTAAAGATGGAGCCGTGGCAAGAGCTCTGGTGTGAGCACACCGGGGTAGTCTTGCAGTTTTTCCAATGTGGTTTTACTGCAAATGTCAAATAAATGAATCTGAATCTGTTTGGTTCTTGGAGGACGCTGGGACTTTGATGCTGTTTTGTACATTTTCGTGTGTGTGTTGTGCATTCTTTCAGTTGTAGACTGTCTTGTTAAAAGGGGGAAGTATGTAAACAACTTTGTAGTATTATACAGTGCGCACGAGTGTTACCTTGTGATCTATTTTTTGCGGGGTTTGTTTCTCTATAAATAAACGGGGACCTAACTTTGAGGGGAATCTCCAATTACAATTTGCCTCTTTCTGCCTCTGTCATCCCTCTACCGTTTGGTACGCTACACTTACGTCACTCACATTCTCTTTTCAAACTCCCAACAAATGGGCGTAGCCTGGAGGACTAAGGGGGACAGACGGGAGGGAGTGATCACAGCGCCGCCAGCTCTATAGCTTCTTTGCGGTCTTGGAAGGTGGAGGACTTCTCTCCACCGTCCTCACCGGAGGTTGAGAGAGAGGAGGCTCGCGAGCTAGCGGCGCTAGAGCTAGCTAGCGTGCACCACCGGGGGAGCGATGCTGCGGAGGCAGCAGACCGCCACAGAATAGGGCATGTTTCTGAATGATATAGAGTAGAGTGGAATAAAAAGTACAAACTGCTTGTCACAGGTCTTGAAGAGCAATCATGTAGGGATCCGGACCCCGAAATGCTAACCTGTCTGAATCGAACCTTTGACAAGAGTAGGCATTTATGTAGCCTTCCCATATTCCCATACAGTAACCCCTTATGTTGCGTTGCTTTGCTAGACAGTTTTGTCTGTACATTTTATTTATGAACCCAGACCAAGATAAACTATATCTTGTGGGATCATATAGTCATAATATTCTAAACTCTGCCACAATAACCTATGACCACTGCACCTTGTACTGCATGGAAACCCCGAAGGTATTTTGGATAGAAATGATAGCCCCAATGTGCACAAAAGAGACAGTAATTTAACACACGCTAAAACATAAAGAAGTATTCATTGTACACAAGTACAATAAACAATATACAATGAAATTAATCGCAAACCTGAATATTGATGAAAATACTCTGCTATTCCTTCTCCAACTCGCTACGTGGGCGTGAACAAGACTGGGCTCAGGGCGGCAGGGCAACTGACGTCAGCCTTCACTGCAGACGTCAAGTATCACTGCAGACTTGAGCCTTCACGGCTGCACCAGTGTTGGCGCCAGATTCAAAATTCAAATGTAGTAAATACAGGTCGCCTGCAGATGGCGCCTCACTGACGGTTTTAGGCAGAAAGTTGATCTTTCAACTAATTTGCCCCAAAGTGACAAAATTATGACCAGGATATGTAGACAACACTATTGGACGCTCATTTATACCGTTTATCAGCAAAAAAAAAGTGGATTTGAGGGTGAGTTTTCATTTATATAAAACAAGCAAACAAAAAGTAGATGAATAAAACAAGCTAAAAAGTACAGGACAGGTACTTAATCTTAATTTATTTTTTAAAGAAAAAATTCAAAGAGATCCGTTGAAAGGGTCCCGACAGATGCATTGAAAGCTCAGCAGCTGGACTCTCTGGCAGCGAGGGAGCGCACGCGGCACATCCTCCTGTCCCATGATCTCTCCGCCTCGTGTGCGTGTGTGTGTGTGCGTGTGTTTGTCTGTGTGTCTTTGTCTGTGTGTGTGTGTCTGCTGTCTGCTCAATGTGAAGCAGACTCGGCACTATATACGCTCCTGGGGGATCGCTCAAACCCAATTGCGGAAGTTTACACCCAGGAAAGCCTCCTCTGCCGCCGCCGCCGCTGCCGCCTCCTCCGTGCCTCCCCCGAGTGTGTTGACATGACAGATGAAGCTGCAGCCGTGGGTCGGTGACAGCGTGGACTGGATTTAATAGAATCGAGAGTGGATTTTTACACGCTCGGTATGTCTACGTTTGGCTCAGCGGAGAGACGGGCGTTCGCACTCAAAATCAACAGGTACTCCTTTTTTGTAAGATAAAACAAAACTTGTGTATAGTTCCGAGGCTTGTCCTGACAGCGGGATTCCAGAGAGTGGAGCAGGCAGGCACATGTTTTGAATGTTAATGCTGCATGGTACTGCTTCACTTTCTGTCCCATTTAAGAATAGCCTGAGGTCCTCCTGAACCTCAACGTCAATGCACTCACTGAACTTTTTATTATCATTATTATTAGCTAATATTTCTCACGCACGCCAGCTCTTCCCTGGCACACGTAACCTCATATTTTGTCTCCATTGTGTCAGTGTGTGTGTAAAGTGTCATTTCCTCTATGGTGAGGCATGGATGGATACACGACCTAAAAATCTATCTGCTGTTAGTAACACGAGCATTTCCTGTGTAGTTGGTGTGATTGCTCATAGGGCTGTAATAAATGAATGGTCATAGTTCCTGTGACACTGGCCAGGTGTGGAGTGGAGAGAGGAAGTATGCACATGGAAGTCTATTGTCAGCTCAGCTTCTGGACTGCTTTTTCAAACAAATATGACTATACATGTGTGTACTGTTCCAGGAAGCTGTTCAGAGCTTAACCCAGTGTATTCAAATGACATGATAGGACTGGGAATGATTGAAAACGGAATGAAAATGTCTTCAGAGAGTCGGTGTTGGAAAATGACTATAGTATGAAACATATTGTGTTCCATTGCCCAATCAGAGGATTTCATTCTGAATACTGTTAATGCTTTTACGCTCATTGTATAAAATTGTGCAATGAGCTTATTGTGTAAAATGCAGAGTAGGAAAAAAATAACTTGTTTTGTTTCTGATGTATTTTTTGTTTTCCTATTCAACAAGAGTAAAATACATTCTCATACTTGTTTTCCTCTCTGAATTGCTTGATCAAATACTGCAAAAGAAAGATTAATGTCTTCAGAATATATTTTTTGCTGGTTTTCTGAGTAGATATTCCCGGTTCAAGTATTCTGTAGTTCTTGGGAGACTATTAGTATAACATATTTCAATTGTCTGGATCTGTAACTTTGACTGGGACAGTGTATTGTTATTTTGACTTTGGACTTGAACTTGAGGTTTGTAAGGAATAACTCTGAACCCTTGTTGTTGAACAATGGGGACATGGCTCCTCTTCAACCACCATAAATCACAGTCAGGTGGAGTAGGTGAAGTGTCTTGGCCAAGGGGTCAATGACATGCGTTTGTTTGGAGCTAAAATGTTGAGTTTTGGATTTGCGAGCAAACAACTGCCACAGATACCTTAACCCCTCATAAATAGTTAATTTTGTTTGTCCCAAAAAGACTTCAGACCACAGTCTGATGTCTTCCTCTTGAAAGAGCCCCTTGAGTCACTATTTGACAGTTTGGGCTCAGTGCTGATTGGCTGAGTGAGGGTGGTCTTCTTTTTCACTTTTCTGTCTGAAAGCTGACCCAAAGATGTGGCCAAATCTGTATGCAGTACATCCAGTTAGAAGCAGGTTAACCGTACCTGGGGTACTTTGAAATAGTTTTGAAGTGTTTGATTATCTTAGATAACTATTTTTCATTACTATTTTTCATTACAATATGTGTGCACTAGCTCACCACAGCAGGTAAATAGATGTTTTTCTGGTGCTCCGACGTCACATCTAATGGAGGTGTTGTTGAACAGAGCTGAGCTCAGCTGCTGAGGGAGCAGTGATTTTGGGTCACAGTCTGACTCTGACATGAGGCAGCAGGATCTGTGCAGGCGGCTGCTGCACTCTGTGTGTGGTGGCAAACAGGAGAGAGCATGACGCTGCAAAGATGGACCAGAGTGCTTAGTTTGTCCTATTTCATGATTTCACATTCATATTTATTCACGATTAAAGCTGGGGTTTCAGACATTTTTGTTCATAAATTATACAGTTTGTCCAACTTGTAAAAGTAAAATGTTGTGACAGTTCGGGCGGAGAGTCGGTTGACGAGATGAGGTCCTCTCTGAAAAAGCTGATCTGAAGACAGAGGCCAGCGATAGATCCAAACATGAACTAGTTACATGGGTTTTAGTACATTATTCCGTTTATGTTGTTGTATTTTAGTCAGGAACCCAAACTGAGTTTTCAAACCACTACAAGAATTGTGGTCAATCACAAGATTCTGAAATCATCAGAAGTGGTATTTGTTGTTGACCACTTTGTTGAGTAGTTTTGGGAGTGAAGTCGTGCAGCCGTTTCCTAAGATAGTATTCATTTACCTAACCAAACTGTTCTTTATTCTCTAAATGGGAGGCTCCGCCTTCTAGAGCATTCTAGATAGTTGCTTAATATACGTATGTTTAGTTCCTGTTTTTCGTCAGAGAGAAGGAAACAAATAAAGTGGACAGATTATTTCTCTGTGTTCACTTCTCTGTTTGGATTTGCCAGTTTAAATCAAGTCAATGTTTCTTTTGTTCAAACAGTTGCTCTAAATTGACGTTCTCTTCTCCATAATAGTTTGGTGTTACCCAAAACATTTATATTTCCATATCAGATTTTCTTTTTCCTTTTGCTCACAATTAGGGCTGCAACATTTGCTAATTTATTTTTATGTTAATTGTCCTTTATACAAACCCATTTATTTGTTGTGAGATGATATTTTAACACACACAGGGAAATGATTACATTCAAAATATAGGAATTGTGTTAATTTCTTGTTTTTAATAATACATCTGGGAAAATGTCTATTTTAAATGTCTGTGGTTTCACTATAGCTTTGTCTGGGTCAAATTGAGATAAAATATTGTGTCAACATTCAAAACAACTTAGTTCTCTCTTAATCAATTATCAAATTCATCTTTAGTTACAGCAGTGCACACCCATTACCACCCATCACTACTTCTAGTATTGTCCATTTTCCTTGTGTGAGTATGTGAACAGGTGTGGGGCAGCTGTGGCCGCGCTCGTGCAGCCTCTCGAGCAGCAGCAGGGTGCGTATAGAGTGTCATGTGATTTCCTCTGGGTTTCAGCCTCATGACATCTGCTCAGCCTCCAGGCGGGTGGCGCTGGACCTCCGGGAGATGGTATTGGGTGTCAGGGGTGTGGGGCAACCAGGGTATAGTCGCAAGAAATCGGTGCAAATTAGACAATTTTGAAATGGGTTGTATCATTATCAGAATATGTTGACATTTGACATAAAATTGTATCTCTATTGGTTCAATAGTTACAAATCATCTGAATATCCTAAATTATAGCACTATAACACATTTCTTTACTGCAAAATAGACACACATGTAACTTTACAATGTGAATGTTCAGCCAAGACCAGGTTACTACTTACAGTACAATAATTATACTTAAAACATGTAAGATTTAAAGAAAGGAAATACATAGCACTATTATTATTATTCATACTTTTACATTGGTATTGACAAAGCCCACATGTAGTTTTTTTTTATTTTTTTATTTTTTTTGTAGTAAAGTCCAGTCTATCCAAGTCTGCCTTTGCTGAGCGAGCATAAACTATACTCCACTACATCTGATAACCTGCAGGCGGGCGTCCTTTGTTGTGTTATTACACCAGAGATATTGCAAGAAAAAGCTTCATGTGGGCCCGGTTCTTTTATGTCACATCAGATACTGACATCTCCAGTCAAACCGGAGGCAGGTCCAAAGCTAGGGCAGTGGTTCCCAAAATAGCAATTTGCGATTCATTTTATGATATATAGATAATGTTAATTTAAAGTACCTTATTTTGTTGATCTTAAAATAAGAAAAAATAAGATAAATCTTGCACCTGAAATCAAAAAGAAGGATGCTACTGTTCTTAGGGTTTAAGAAAGATTCATATTCTTTTGGCACATTTTCATTTATAGAAGTCAATAAATTCTCAAATCAATATATTTTTTCTTAAGTCAAGTAATATTAAGTGTATCTTTCTGTTATTTTAAGTAAGTTTTTGTCCACCAAACAACCTCAGCCTTTGTAAATTGCAAGTTGGAACCTCTGAAGTTGTGATATTCGATTAAAATGTGTTTTATAATTACTTGTAGAGTTACAATGATACATTACTTTATGTTTTGTAGTGATTTGTAGTGAAACCGTTTGAAACTTTTATCAGAAATGTTGAAATTAGGTTGTACTAGTAAGTAAGTAAGTAAGTAAACCAAACACACTGACACATCGAAGCCTCTAACTTGTCGCAAAATTCCAAAATTGCATCACCAATTAACAAAATCTACTTTTAGCTTGAAACCTTATATTTTTTCAACTTGAATCCAATAGCTTGTCATCATCAGTTCTCAGCATCTACTATAAATGTTCACCCAAACCTTTTTTGTAGCATGTTCAGTCATCTCAGCAAACGTCCTATGGTCACTTGAAGCTGCCACATCCTGATAAATAAACTGGGAGCTTGTGTTGCTCCCTCTGACAGGAAGTGAGCTGTGATGGCACTGATAGCACAACAAACCCATTAAGTCTGCAGATGTGTGATAGGACTAGATACGGAAGGGGCATCCCTGTGGTCACTACTGTCACGAAATCCACTGACCGTTATCTGCCTCTGCTTTTCCTGCTCAAGTCATGATGAAACGTCTAGCAGCAAAGAGATGTACTGGTATCCGCAACCTCTTGCTCCTGGCTTTGTGAATAAATTATGAGATAAATAATTATGTGGCAATATATTTAAATCAAAGTATAGTTTTGGATATGATACAATACAGAGAATACAATATTGGCACCTTATCAATATTCAATTTAATTCAATTCAATGTATTTTTGTATAGCTCTAAATCACAGTAGTAGTTATCTCGGAGCACTACAAAACCGTTGATTTCGCTAACACAGATCAGAGAATCAAAGAGTTCGAATAGAGCCATTTGTTCATAAGGGGCGGGTAACCAATGTCCATAAATATCAAGTGTCCTGAATCCTCAATGCGTGGGCAGGAATATACTTCAAGTATTTTACTGTAAAGTGTGTGCAATTGCAATTTTTACAGATGATAAGGTTTATTAGTCGATAATATTAAGTTCTGCATTAAATGGTCGATGGTATGTAACCCACAAGC